CTGTCTCATGTCTGAGCTCCGCTGAAAGGCTCCTATCTCAGCTTACCTTGCTCTAGTGTGCAGTCACCTCAACGCCCATTTTAGAAACAAAGGAACCAGAGGAGGCCATTCAGCCCCTCGAGCCTCACCTGCCGTTCCATTAGATCATTTTACAGCCTTTCGCAGATCATCTCAGACACATAAACTGCCTCGTGTATGCACGTGCACGTGTTTGGTGGCGGTGGGCGGTGAGCGAGAGGTTAGAAGCGGAGTGAGCGAGGAGTAATTGATGGGGTGGAGAAGGAAGTGAGGGAAGGAGGGAGGGATAAAGAGTTGAGTGAGAGGGTGAGTGACTGAGTGGTGGAGGGAGGGAGGGAGGGAGGGAGGGGGAAAAAGAAAGTTTGCGCCAATTCCCCTGACATTGTGCCCATGTTTACGCACAGCGACTTGGTTGGTTGCTAACCTTCTCAAGGCTCAGACATTCCGCAGCTCTTTCTGGCAGCTCGTTCGTGATTTAATTTAAGACGGGGCCAGCTGTTTCACAGGCTCGCTGGTGGTTGACTCTTGTGTTGCATGGTAACTGTGGGGGGAAGCGGGTCATTTCCTTTCCTGAAGTTTTTACGAAGGTCGTTAGGATGATCAATGGTCTCATAATTCACGGGCGAGTGAGGCACGACTGGCTGTGATGCGGGACAATTGTGTTCAGCCACAAACGCCGTGTGTGTGTGTGTTCGTGTGAAACAAGAGTCGCGCTGTGTTTTTATTTGGGTGGGGCGGGGGGTGGTGGAGAGGTGGGTAAGGCCTTGCACTTCACAAGAAGCCATGTGGTCTGGTAACAGAGGTTTCATTTTAATTGCTCCCCAAAAGAAACCGGTTCATTGGGTTTCTTTCTCCCCCTCCATCCGACTCGCCCGCCCCGTTGTGCCCTTCGAGGTCTGCACGAGGAGAACTGCTTTCACTCGGAAGGCGCTCTGGCGGGGCTTTGCCACGCGTAAGCCTGCGTTTGCCGACAAATACACAGCCACTACACGTGACTGCAATTCCCTGTGAAACACGTAATGTGAAAGGTGCTCCATCAACTGTAAGGATTAGTATTATTAATAAGAGCTTCGAGATGGTTCAATGCTATAGACAATGTCCCAGAGGCAAGAATTACTCTTCTTCTTGTACGATAATGGACAAAGTCCCATGTAGATGCGCCTGAAATTTTCCATGGTTACACTGCATGACCGAACGGAATTTAGGGATGTCCTTCGGTTAAGGGATTTTAAGAACCGCAAACAACTCCGAGCTTCCAAACTAAGCCCAGGTTTGACCAATTTTACAGAATTCCACACCAGCTTCAATTTTATGACGAAACAGGCTGAAGGCTGAGACCATGGGAAAGTTTGGGGGCTCCGATTTCTAAACTGCAATGAAATTGCAAACGTCCCTTCAGTCTTGGCCCACACAACTTGCTTGATTTATTTGCTTTCCGAAGACGGGAGAGGACTTGGGAGGAAAAGACTCTGTAAATGTGGTTTCTTCCAAGGTTTTCGTGAACCCGAGGAGTAAATATTGTTCTTTTAGCCCCGTGTGCTTTGGTTTGGGAAATGGCCGTACTTGCGTACACCGGATCTTTTTGTGTGTGTGTGTGTGCAGGGGTGGGGGGGTTTAGTATTAGTGCTGACTGGTTGCGATGCAGGACAATTGTCAAACACTCTGTCCGAAGGAAGAAAAAGTCGCCTTAGTGGTGCTTTTATCTCGATCAATACACAACTGATGAGCTGGCCTAGAGGTACACACGGAAGCCTTGATCGCGGCACTAATTGGGGGCCAGTCCTGCGCCCAATAGGAAATGCCGTGGACCAGTTTGGCCGAATTTCTCTGTAAATTTGACGAAACAAAAATTTGTCGTCATCTTTGGGCTGGGCTGCGTTTATAGCCAGCCGTCACACGCGCGTCACTGCGCACGCTTCACGCCTGACAAACAAGCATATGCTCAACCCGCTGCTGGATTCACAGACCCTAAAACAGCAGGACTCTTGCTGTGTGACAGAGAAGGGCTCCGTAATTACCACCGAGGGGCAAGTTAGCCGCAGAATGATTTAATGCCTCTTTGCAAGTCGCACAATGCAGTGCCATCTGGCGATCAAACATAGGGATGTCAATTTCCCAGCAAATGTGCATTTATTGTTTCTGTTAATCTGGGTCCAGTTTTAGTCTTGATTTTTAAATCACTGAATTCCGTTTCGTCACCACGGGCAAGCAGGATGCATCCCTCCAGAGACGAGAGAGCGAGAGCAAGCGAGAGAGAGAGAGAGAGCGTTCCATTCCAACAATCTATCGCTGGAATTTCCATGCGTCAGTCAGGTAGGAAGCACGGAAATCTCAAGCTTGGTTTTTGGAGACTCTTAAGCGACGGTGGTGGGTTTCCGCACGCGTCAGCACCCACCCGGCTGGTCCAAACAATGCCTAATGTTTTCAGTAGCTGAGCGGCGTGACGTTCATTTCTTTCCAACCTTCCACATCTGTTTTAATAATAATAATCTTCGCTCGTGATACAGCGCCTTATACCGGAGCGCTTCACCGAGGTTCTGCGCAGTGGAGTGACTATATTCGTAGGCAAACGCGGCAGCCAGTCTACGCCTCCGCAAACAGCCATGAAGTCTTTTGTTACCACCCAACCCCCCCCCCCCCTTACCCACCCCCCCAACAAAAGATTTCTTAACAACACTTCAACCCAAGAACATTCAAGCCCAAACTAGCAGCTCCCTCTGCCGGCCGCCCTGCTTTACTACACCAGTCCATTCACACATTAATAATAATAATAATCCTCGCATTTGATATAGCGCTTTTCACGTCTTCTCGATGTCCCAAAGCGCTTCACAGAATATGCTGTAAAGTGAATTGACCGTATATTTGTGGGCGAAACGCGGCGGCCGATTGCGCACAGCAGCGTCTGTCCCACAAACAGTCGTGGATTGAAAATGATCAATTTATTATTGTTTTTTTGGGGGAGGATTATTAGGGACTCATTAAGGACTCCCCCAGCTGTTTGCATTGATAACGGTGTTAGCTGGTGACAGTTTGCCAATTTTCCATTTAATCTTGAATTTTGGGCCTTGAATAAATTTACGGTTTATGCGCTCAGGTCCCCTTTTTCAGCCCCACACACAGTTTGGCTCAGTATCTACACTCGGTAACTGCTCCTCGCTGTCCTGAGCACATCCAGATGTCCCAATGCCTCTTCCTACAATCTCCTTAAAACATCTAATAACATTAACATATCAATCAGCCTAATTGCAATTAAGCTTCCGGACACTCTGGTCATTAACACAACTACTCACAGCAACACATTAGGCCAATCAGTAATCCTCTTCATTGTTTGGTGACCTCTTCCTCTCCTTTGGCTTTCCATCAGAGTTCAGTGTCACCTCCACCTGATGTTGGGGTGTCACCTGGCAATTTATTAGAGAGAATGAGAACGGGCCATAACTTTGTGCCTCTCGCGTTTCTTTTACGGAAGATCAAAACAGTTAAAAAATTGTGATGGAAGACACTGACGGTGGCAGAGAAAAAGAAATTCTATTGGAAAACCCATGGACTATTGATTGGACTTAGTGATCGCTTAGAAATTCTCATAGTCCTGGCCAAATCTGACCACCTGGTCCCAAACTAGGGCAGGCAATGATCTTCCCTGCGGCTCCCATCTCCAGAAGCAACTTGATGGTTGTCAAAGAGTTGGGTGTTCTACGGTGAGTGCTGATTGGAAACACACCGTGGTCAAAGCCACCAACTACACTTATTGTCGAGACAGAGTCACCAACACTCGCTCTGGAAAAAGTGACCTTGCGCTAATGAACAAAGTGACCGACCTACTGGAGGTACAATAAAAGGAAACTTGGTGGCACTGTTGGAAGTCATCCTGTTCACGTGGGTTTGTAGAGCATAAAGAGTTTTCTTTGAAACATAATTGTCTCTAAAACCAGAGCACGTATGGTCGTAGCAATAAGGTACATTGTGGGGTGTGATTTCACTCCAATTTCACCCTTGATTTCTCGCTATCTTCTGCCACAAAGTGATCCAGGAGACAACCTCATCATAGACTAGACTATTGGATCAAGGCAGATCTTTTAATCCTACTCCCCACTTTTTCTCAATACCCCTCAATGCTCTTTATTTCGCACGTGTCTATACGTCTCCTTTTAAACAACCCGCACAAGAGTACCAACGCAGGACACTGCTGAGCCTGCAACCTCCTCTCTTCAACGCTGCAATTCTCTTTGGTTGACCTTACATAGTCACTTTACTGTAAAATCCTGTGAAGCGCTTTGAGACATCTCGACATGATAAGGCACTGCATCACACAAAAGGATTATTGAGACGAAGGCGCTGTATGTACAAGTGCGAAGTGTTGAAACAACATGCCTTGTGTGTTGATAAATTTACAAGCCTTTGCGTGTGTAAACACGATGGCTTAGCTGAGACTTTGTAGCTGAGTTTGGTTGAGATAAGGTTGCAGACGGGTTCCGTAATCTGTCTACGCTGCAGCTCGGTTACTATTTCAGTCACCCGAGTTTGTATCAGACATCAACACGCAGGCTGATAAACCACCCGGCTCACCGGCTCAAAAATAAAACCCAGGGTTTAAACAGCGGTGGATCTCAGGGTTGGGAAATATCTGTGGTGCTCTTTGCTCCACCGAACAGGGAATCACTGCAACTTCCGCCCGCACTTCCTTAGCGCCTTTCAATTCATTAGGACGGGCAACGTGAGGCATTTCACGCAGCACGACGGGAGCGGGTGGTGGGGGAGAAGAGAGAAGAAGGGATTACCAAGCAGGGAGGTGAGGAGGAAATAGATGCATCGTGGAAAATCCAGCAAGTTAATTTACAAACCGTTAAACCGTTAGCCCGTTGACGCGGGCTGATGACTCGTCACCCCCTTGTCCGCAAAAATTCTACTCCGCCTCGGCGAAACCTCCGCCGGTTTGAGTCGCGGTAAAAGCCACCCACAGACCACACCACGTTTCGGGGGGATGTTTTGCCACAGAGCGTTTCACCTTTATTGGAATCTCACACGTTAAGAGAGGCGGAAACGACGCGGTTTCCGAAGGCCGGCTGACCCCGGTCCGCGTCACCCGTACAATTCCGTGACGCCGGCCGGGACCGGATCTGAGCCGGAGCTGCCAGCACGGACGCCAGCGCAGCAGGTGCTCGGGCTCACTTCCCGCACCTCACGGCTTTGACGATAGCCTTGGCGTTGATGCCGAACTTCTCCAGCAGCTCGGAGGACTTGCCGCTGCGTGGCACGCCCTGCACCGCCAGCCGCTGCACCAGGATACCGGGCTCCATGGCCACCGCGGCACAGACCGCCTCCCCCAGTCCGCCTGCAGACAAGCACAAGTCAGAGGTCAGAACACCGGACACACCTCGCAACAGCAAGCCGACCGGACCAGGACCGTAGTCCGATGGGAGTACGATTTACAAAGGCTTTTTTAAAAAAAAATCCACAAACTTCCTCTGTTAATTTTAACTGATTTAACTGGAGAACTCTGTGATTGTTGAGTCGCAAATCTCAAGTTGGCCAAGTCTGGGGTGGGGTGGGGTGGGGGAAGAGAGGGGGGAAAATGGGGAACCAGGTTGGCCGCTATTGTGTTAAGAGCCAGAAAGGTCAGGGCGTATGGGTTCCAGTTACGAGCTTTGTTCTGCCATCCGCAATCCTGCCTCTCCATCAGAGACATGGCGGCTCGAGCCGCACTCATAACCTAGACTGAGGCTCCAGTGCAGTGGCAGCTCCATCATAATCCCACGTGCCATCCTTTGAATGAGACGTTAAAACAAGGTCCCGTCTGTCTACCTATTACAGTGGTTCAAGTGCACCCTATCGGAGTTGATGGAACCACATACACAGCCCCCCACACTCACCAACAAACACACCCACACACCCCCAACCTCACACACCCCAACAAACACACCCACACACGCCGAGGACGCTCTCTAAACCTTACCCTCGTGATAGTGATCCTCCACAGTGATGATGCGCTTTGTTGTGGTGTCCTTCGCACACTCGATGATGGTTTTGGCATCGATTGGCTTGATGGTGAAGAGATCAATCACTTTGATGTTCATTCCTGCAACGGTCAGGTTACATTTGCTGGTCACAATCCTCACAGGGACAGTTGTTTTTTTTAAAAAAAAACAATATAAATCAACCGGGCAATTTGGAACTTTAAACCGAGAACTTTAAACATGTGTCGAATGAATCAGAAGATAAATAGAATACAGGATACCAATAAAAGGACTGAAACTCGCTGCTGTCATTTAATTTCAATGCCCTCTTGTGCAGTATTGAGCGCTACGAAATGCCAACCTCCATGAAGGGCGCTGTATAAATGCAAGCTGTTGTTGTACAACAACAAAATTAAATATGTAAAGTGCCTTTCACGTCGGGAGAAACGTCCCGAAGCTCTGAACAGTCGGGGATCAGGACCCGAGAGGTAGGAGGGCGGCTGAAGGCACGGCCGAGGAAAAGGGTCTTGAGTCGTGCCTTGGAGAAGGCAAGGGAGGGAGGGAAGTGAAGGGATTGTGGGATGAAATTACAAAGGGTGGGGGCAGAGAGACTGAAAGCCCGGCCGCAGATGGTAGGGCTGGAGCAGGCCAGAGACTGCTGAGCAGAGGGAACGGACAGGCTGATGGGGGCTGAGGGGGCGTCAGCAGGTCAGAGATGTAGGAGGGGGCAATGGTGTGGATGGCCTTGAAGGTGAGGATTTTGAAGTTTATTATTGTATTAACCTGCCCTTGTATTACTCTAAGGGCAATGTTGCTCACCCTCCTTCACTGCTCTCCGATCAGAATGGGAGGAGAACATGACTTGTTCGGAGCTGCAGTCGGTGCTCGGTTTGGATCTCGTCACGTACTGCAAATCCCTAGACCAGCCCTGTCATATTCAATCTTAACGGGGGTCTGAGAACAGCGATTAACTTGATGTTACCAAAAGCCCCATTTTGTCTGCTTTGTTAAATTAAAAAGAGAAGGGGACGGGGGTTGGGGAGATCGAGAGAGAGAACACAATCACACACACGGTCGACACGGATTAACCCTTCACACACATGCCACGAGTCAATCCGTTAAGACTACACGTACCCTCATTGGCCAGTTGGGTGGCTGCAGTTAACGCTTCGTGCAGGGTCACTCCAGCAGCGACAACGGTAGCGTGGTCCTTCTTACTCTGACGCAAGACCTGTCAGGAACAAAGCGACTTGTTCTTGATGATCTCCCTCAAGCAAGCATCGCTTTTAAATCCCAGCCGTTTGAATCGAACCCCGTTTGCAGAGTGTCGGTACGCATTTTAATGGCAGGTTATTACAAAGACATAAGCAGCAGCAGCTTTTAGGTCAGCGTGCGCAGCCCGCCAGTACTCGTGCAAGAGAGAGAGAAAGACAGACAGGATAGGATGTACGTATATGAATGATGGGAGTGCGAAAAAGACACTGAAATATACGTGTAACACAATGCAACACTGAAAAGCGCTCGGCTTTCTGCTTGGCAGAGGATTGGGGGCCTTGGGCCGCCTGATAGCCCTGAACAAACTGAATGCAGTAGATAAGGCAGCAGTCCGCGGCTGTCTGTCTGCAGGGATTTGGAGTAAAAACACAGACAGACACAGGCTGATGTGCCCTGAGGTAACAGCATTCCTGCCTCTTGTGCCTGCCTTGGTTGCCAGATACAGCACAGGCGTGTGCGTGTGTGATGTGTTTGGTGTGTATGTGTGTGGCGTGCGTGTGTATATACTGCGTGTGTGTGTACATATAGTTTGTGTATGTGTACAACTCAAGCCATGGCTTCTCGCCCCCCACGTTACCCACCTTGGCCTTTCCAATCTGAAACACTTCACTGTTATCGTAGATGACGGCATTTTCCGGCCGGCTGGTGCGGATGAAGCAGACTCCCTACGGACAGAACAGATTCGTGGAACCTTCAGCCAAAGTTACGGATCGGTAGCAAAGATCGTTAGCGAAAGTCTTCAAAAATTGAATAAAATAAAAAAGGAGAAACTGGACAAAGCGACAGTTATTACTGACTGGGTTAAGGGGAAGTGGTATTCATTCAATTGCTGGTTACAGCCGGGGCGGGCAGGGGGGGAAAGAGAGCCACTTCTCCAATTCAGCGCATCATTTCGTTTGGGGAATGATGGTTTCCGGGGAGTGGGGGGGAAAGAGAGAAGGGGGTTGTATTTCTATTTGTAACTTGGGGAGGGGAAGGTGGGGGGTCAATCAGCACTGCCCTCACTGTAATTGCCTTGTACTTCCTCCTAAGCATCCCTGGCACTCTTGAGCTACAGCGGTACTATACGTAAATTAAATTAAATTAAATTAATTTTTAATTATCCGTTTTGCTTTGATTTGCAGTTTCCTGGATTTGCAACAGCCCTGAAACTGGCTGCTCTTTCGTTTCCCCTAATTGATTTTGGCCCCAAACCATCCCCAGTATAAATCTCCTGCTGATCCCGAATCCCCTGCGGGTAACGCCAGGCGTTTTATAGCGCTCCTCTGGAATCAGTACAACATCGAACAGTTCAGTTCCTGCAACTATTAACTGACCTAAATCACGCCTTAGGATGTTTTGACTGCGACATCCAAGCAGAGGTGTTTTTTCCTGCAACTTTGCTGCTCTGTTAAGATAAATTACATCTGCGTTTGCCTGTTGCCTGTCGTAACCACTGATACAAAATTCAAAAAAAAGTCAATTCAAAATATTTTGTGAAACTTTTTGTTTTGGGCCAATTTCCTCCCCTTCCCCCCCCCACACCTCCCTCTGCTTCCCCAGATAGCTGGGCTAGGATGCTATGTAGGATTGGCTGAATGCAAGCTATAAAATCTGTATATCTACAGAACAGGCAGCTGAGGGAAGACGGTAGAAGCAGAAAGTGTTGATTCTTTCAAATCCAAATTAGAGAGATTTCTTTCAGGAAATAATATTTGGGGGATACAGTACATGTGTAGTTCAGGACACAACACGTGAAAGCGATTGCTAGGATGGTGGAAAGTGGACGTGATGGACCCTGGTGTTTTTTTTCATCTAACAATTCCTATATGTTCCTGAGTGCTGCACTGAGCAGCTTTGGGTCCGGTTGTGCACCAGGTTACTGGAATTTATTTACAAGGCTTGCCAGTGTAATGTACCTGGGCTGCACCCAGTGAGAAGCAACTCCTTGAAATGAGGATTAAAAAAAGGCTTACATAACTTCAAACCATGACGACTCACGTTAAAAAGAAACTCTCAAAGCTAACCAAGGATAAAGGACTGCAAAGTGTAGTGACTGGGACAGAAGGGAGAGAGTGTGTGTGTGTGTGTGTGCGCGTTGGAGGCTCATGTCCCAGACCTTTGTGTTCGCCGCTAACTCCACTGCCCGCTCGGCTGACACCCCGTCACTGGGATAGAAGACCGTGGCTGTGGGGATGGCGCGGAACATGGCCAAGTCCTCCAGGCCCATTTGGGAGGGTCCGTCCTCACCTAAAGATGAATTCACAGAGTCAGGAATGCCCGTGCCTTCACGTCCCATGGGACTGACTTGCGCACACCCATAGAGAAAGGCACCAAGTTCAATTTCTATTCTCCACTGAGACAGGTGGTCTCAGTTTAGTGATGTTATAATAATATTAATAATCCTTGCATTTGATTATAGTACCTTACCACGTCATTCAGACGTCTCAAAGCGCTTCACAGATTATACCGTAAAGTGAACTGATGATTGCGCACAGCAGCGTCCCCCACAAACAAACGAATGGCTGCGGTGACAGGAAGGGCCCCGGTTGCTGACTCACCGATGGAGACTCCGCAGTGAGAGCCGCTGAGGTTGACGTTGCTCTCGGAGATGGCTGCCATGCGGATCTGGTCGTACGCTCGCGAGAAAAAGGTGGCGAAGGTGCTGGCGAACGCAACCGTCCTGTCCCGTGTGCAGCAGCCGATGGCAATGCTCACCTGTGAGATAATTATAATATTATTGCAATAATAACCTTGCATTGGATGCAGCAACTTATCACGTCAAAGCGCTTCATAGGATATAATGTAAAGTGGGTTGAGACGTGGACAATGTTGCTAGTTTTAAGCGCTGTAATCAAACATTGAGAAGGAGGGCGCAGATGCCAATAATAATAATAATGTCACATTGGCTCTGCCTCAATCTACCTGCACTTTTATAAGAATAATAATCCTTTCATGTGATAGGGCGCCTTATCAGGTCTTCGAGACATCTCAAAGCGCTTCACAGAATATATCGTAAAGTGGAACGACTACGTATTTTGTATAGACGGAACACGACAGCCAATTACGCACAGAATACCTTGCGCGTTTCCGTGATCAGTTTTAAGTGCTCGTCCCGTAAACACCGTGCAGCACGCAAATCAACTAACTGGGAGCCTTTCTTTCACTTTGCTAATCTCTGCCATTGTTACATGCCGTGCAATGTCAAAACATGTGAATTCTACATTTCACACGGAGCCCAAGGTATGTCGAGGTGTTAATTCAGTTTATGATGCAGCTTTCAGCACAGTTAACGGGTAGAGTATACACACACACGCACACAAAATTCCCCCCTCCCTGTCCTCAAAAGCTGCTCATGGTGACTTTGCTCGAGAGCCACGTATCTCAGACACTTTAATCAGAGAGAATGACCAATGCAAAGATGCTCCCTTCGAAAAGCTTTCTGGATCAATTCGCTAATCCGTAAATTTTTTAAATACCATTGAGCAGCAGAAGAGGGTGAACTTTGCTCTTTCTAAGGAAGTTGAACGAAAGACATCACCAGAACCGCCCTTGACAGATTCTCTCGAGTCTTAAAGGTTAGCAACCCTCCACGTGATCGTTGTGAACTAAAGAATGTGAAAGGATTTACCATGTTCTGCTCCGCGATGTAGCACTCGATGAAGCGCTCAGGGTGCTCTTTCCTGAACAGGTCGGAGAAGGTGGAGTTCTTTGTGTCGCCGTCCAACGCAACCACGCGGGGGTTGTCGTGGCCCAACTTGGCCAGGGCTACCCCATAAGCTTTCCTTGTGGCCATCTAGTGCAGGACAGAGGATTCCAGCTATCAAATACCTGAATATAGCTCACTGGTTTTAAAACTAACAATAATCCTTGCATTTGATACAGAGCCTTATCATGTCGTTGAGACATCTCATAGTGCTTCAGAGAACATACTGTAAAGTGAATTGTCTATCTTTGGGCGAAGCGGCAGTCAATTGCGCACAGCAGTGTTCCGTAAACAGTCGTGGATTGAGTGATCACAACTTTTTTTGTGGGGAGGGGTTATAACCACGGGAAAGTGATCTGTGGTCTGCACGGAAAGTGAGCCAATCGACTTAACAACCAGTTTCCTACTTCCTGCTAGGTAAACAAAGAAGTGTGGAGTAAGGAAACGTGCCAAAGATTTCGCCCCGCCCGGGAATCAAACCAGGGTCCTCTTGCTTGTGAGGTGAGCGCACTAACCACTCCTACAGGACTCCTCATTGGTTTGCAGAATGAATTAGACGGGTCCACAAGTGTGCGCGTGTCTGTGGGGTGGTGGGGGGGGCTTGGTAAATAAAATCTCCTTGGAAATCAAAGTACATGATATTGTTTAACCGATCTGAGGGCAGTGTTAGAGAGCTCAGCAATGATTATCCCATCCTTTACCTTGTCACCCAGTTTATAATTGGGTGGGGAGGAGAGCTTGATATTTTTAATGGAGATGTCTGGTGCATCCTCCACTGGCTGCTCTGGACTCAGTTTCTTGTTGTTCTCGATCCTGCCTTGAATCTCCTTAATAATCTCTTCCATTTTATCTTTAGGTATGGGCTTGCCGTGCCAATTTTCCATATCCTCCACACCTGCACATGTAGGTAAAGCATTAACGGTGGCTTTCCAGGGACGTTTCAGAGACACACGATTCAGTGAGAGAAGGGTTAGGTGTCTCACCTACAGCACGTCCAGGCCAAACAAAGCACATTCAGACGTGTGTGACACATAACGTGTTCCATCAGAAACACTTGCCATGCATAAAGCTTCCAAACCAGACACTGCGCACGCACAGGATTCAGGCTGCACGCATCAAACAAACACAACACACTTGGCTTGACATTTTGTCCAGTCATCACTCCAACACACATTGCCCCGTACTGACCCAGGGGCTGAGTTATTCCTAATGTTTCTGTGGCTCAAAAATACAGATCTCTTCCCGTGAACGTACCCAGACTAAACAGGGAGAACGGCTTTCATGATAAACGCCAGCAAGCTCAGACATCGAGCCGTGAGCCAACAAATGACTTGGGACACAATGACACCATCTCTCGCGTCTATGATACTGACCAGTAATTAATCTCCACTTGTACTGTTGTCACAAGCAGTGACACGTACCTGAAATGCCTTTTCCTTTCAAGGTCTTTGCAATGATCGCAGTTGGTTTATCTTTGACCTGGCTGGCCTGCCACAAAGCTTTGCAGAGCTCCTCCACGCTGTGTCCATCCACCACTTCCGCGTTCCAACTGAAGGATGCAGAGAGTTCAGAAATGGCCACAGTCAACAGACTCCGCACGCCAATACATCAAGAGACAAACAAAGATTCGGTTGACTATTCATGGGACCAAATTTGGGTGCCAAGATTCCATTTCCATCAGAGAATATTGGAGGCCCATCAAACCTGGGTCTGATCTCTCGGAGCTATCCATTTAGTCTCCCTCTCCGACCCTTACACTTTCACATTTTATACAATAATCCAATTCCCTTTTACTACTCATTATATATTCTGCTTTGACTATGGTTTTTGTTGAAGCATTCCACACCCCAGTAGTTAACCTCTCTCTCTGGTTATTTTTTGGAAGGTGATGTTAAATTTATACCTTTCAGCGTGTGTTCCTGAGACACATCCAAGCATTTAAACTACGCTCTCGGTTCGCTCTCCCATTGCCCCAGAGCCGCGAGTTCGAAGCTTACCCGAAGGCCTCACAGCGCTTGCGGTAGATCTCCACGTTGTGCTGCAGTGGGGCTGGGTCGCTCTGCCCAAGACGGTTCACGTCAAAGATGGCCACCAGGTTATCCAGTTTGTAGAAAGAGGCGAATGCCATCGCCTCCCAGACCGAGCCTTCTGACGATTCTCCATCTCCCAACAGGCAGAACACACGGTAACTGGGGGGGGGGAGAAAGACTCAGTCATTCCATCAACATGAACGATCAATTAACCTTTGACAGTCTCAAACACTCCTCTCATACTAAGCGACGGCGAGTTGAGTCAAGGTGCTTAACAATTAGGGAAAGTACAAGCCTTTACATGAACACAAATTTGAGAGTAGTGCGCTGAATTTTAAGCATTTGCCAGAACTAAAAAGGAACTAATTTAACTGATTTAACGAAAATGGCTCCATTGTACATCAACTTTTTGCTCTTATCAACCAACTTCACATTTAAACAGATGGAAAGGTATAACTCACTGTGAAGATGTTGAAACTCTAGCGACGACTAAACCCCAAGCACTTTATAATAAGATTTTACAGTGGATTCTGCCACTGGATTCTCTCATGCACAATATGCAAACACTTGACCGTAAAATACAATACAGTATTGAAGAATCAAACTAAGACAGAGCTATTTTTGTCTTGCAATATTTTGAAAGAAAGCCAATTGTTCTGCACTGGTGAAATTAGTGCTGGAGAGTGCATCAACGGTGTAATTCAGTTTAGAAAATTGCAGTTAAAAGTATTCAAAGTGAACATCAATTCTTCTGTGCCCCACAATAGCAGCAATAATTTAAGGTCATGACTTGCAAAGTTTTTTTTATTTAAAAGCTTCAGATTTGCATAATTGCTGTTAGAATGGAAGCATTTTGCCTCCAGTCAGGGTGACTTAGCAGTTTCTCAATGCTGGGTTGCATTTCCTTATCAGCACTCCTCCAATTAGGATTACATCTCACTTCCTTCTACCTGTCTTGCTTCATCTAACTCTGCGCTCGCTTTCAAGTCTGACTTCTACACCCACTCTTCAAATTTCACAGCTCTCTAAGGGAATACAAGGGAGGTATTTATCCCACGGTTATCAAACTGGTTGGGCAATACACAGAATGATAAAACAACAAATTGTTCCAGGCTTGAGTAAAGTGCTTGCTTTGTGCAGTTTCCAATTCACTGTAAAGGCCTGAACAACCTGATTTTCCCACACCTTGTCTCGCAATCCCAGGACGCTCACTCCATACTGTGATGCCACAAGTGTGATACCTCTTAAGGTCAGAAATCATTGGGTTAAGTCTCTTCACTGCTTCGCAAATCTACTTTGTTTTTTTGTATTTGAAAAAAGAAGCAAAACTAAAGACATCTAGGTTTGTTGAAAGGACATTGTCTGAAGAGGTTTTATTGGGAAAATGGTCCTGTCTCTAACATAGCTTCCAGATTCTCAACAAGAAATCAGTTCAACAACAGGGCTTCAGTGTTCGAGGGAAGGGAATCTTGGAAAATATCGACTTGTGGATTGAATACCATCTGATAACAGGCAAAGATTTGCTGTTCAAAGTGATGAGCAGTTCTCTGACAATCAATGGAAAGCAGGGAGTGGAGGGGTGGGGTGGGTAAGCTGTTACCTGGCTTTATCGAAGTGCTTCCCGGTGTACGCCATGCCAGCAGAGGCTCCCAGACCCTGCCCCAAGGAGCCAGTCGCGACATCGACAAACACTTGTTTCTGCAAAGACAAAACCAAAGAGTCAAGTGCTGATATAATAAACAGACGTTCTGCTATCTGAGAAAAGCAGGACACAAGTGATCGGCTTTTGTTTATTATTTTTATAAGAGAGAGTCAGTGCCAAAGTGTGTGCAAAAGCTCAGCCTCAAGCACCATCAGCACTGAGATTAGGAGGTAGGTTGGGGATATCAACAGCCTAGTGATTTTAGGCAGGTCGATATGGCTGATTTTATACATCTCAGAGGAGGTGTGTGGGGTGCGTGTGAGCTCACGTGGGGAAGTATTCTAAAATGAAAACGTTTCTGAAAGCCAAGGGTATTGTAGCAGACGCTTCCCAAAAGCCACACGAGTTTTGCCGGAAAACTCACGGGAACGGGGTGTCCTTCCAGAATGGAGTTGATCTTCCTCAGGTTCAGTAACTCTTTGGAATCCAGGTACCCGGCTTCAGCCCAGGCAGCATACAGCACTGGCGCTGCATGACCCTGAAACCAAGCAATCATTGCTTACTCGACAAACCGCACCCATTAGTAGTTTAGTTTTAACGTGCGACTTATAACAATAATAACACCACCAAATTACATTTATAGAGCGCCTTTCATGAAATACGTAATACGCCTTTCGAGTAATAATAATATGTAATAGTTAATGGATATGGGGCGCGAGTGTTTCACCGCCCGCAAACATTGTAAAGCAACAGCAGAGAATTCAGGGATCGGCTTTCTTTTGGTATCGATTTGATTTGAACTACGTAAAACGATGGACTTCAAAGTCGTAAGGCTCCCACTGCCTGTGACTGCACCTGCCTGCTAGATCCAGGCCATGCTCTAATGTCACTTCCTTTGCAAGCTCAAAATAGCGAAAACCAATTGCTCCATGTGCTTCATATAAGTAACCTGTGGTACGACATAATGTGTACCTCTAGTCCAGCAACGAGGATTATTTGGTGTTATCCATGGGGAAAAACACTGTACTTAACGCTATAATTGTAGCTGACATGTACACGCAAACATAAGTATTTTTTGAAAAAGAAGCAACCTTTACAATCTCGCAGTGCGGAAGCGCTGACAAGTTTCAGCCCTTACCTTGGACAGTATAAACCTATCGTTGCTGGGGTTGCTGGGGTCCTGAGCTTTGTATTTCATGGTGTGGAAGAACAATGTGGATATAATCTCCGCTGCACTGCAGCACGATGTAGGGTGTCTGTGAAGGCAAACGGACAGAGCACACTCACTCCTCACGCGCTGCATGCTTCAGTTTTCAGTTATTGATGCACAAGTTCATCCTCCCAGCGTTTCCTTACTCGGGACTTTCTCAAATCAGACTATTTCTCCCGCAGGATGTCAGTGCAGAAATGGGAGCAACATAACACGGTGATATCACTAACCGCAGATATTCACCAAAGGTATCGTTTTGACAAGTCAGATATTTAGAGATTTTTTTAAAGCAATAATCAAACACTGAACTCGCTCTCCTCAAAGCCGCACAATTAATTTACAAGCCAAGTGCGGAACTTTCTCAAAGATATTTACTCTGTATCCCTTCCAATTTTTTTTCCCTTTATAAAAAAAATTACTACAGAAATACCGTTGCTCTTCTGCATTAGAACAAAGTGAATTAAGTGTAAATTTGATTCTTTAAACGTTGAGGGGAAATTGGAGAGTTTCAATCCAATAAAATAAAGTTTGCTCTCCATTGAGGAGCGATAGAACGCATGCGATTAGACTAACACAGCAAAACTCTGTATCTGGAAAGGAAACGCTGGGATATTCACACAACAGATCATTCTCTAGTGAGGCACAGGACTTTCAATTGTTAGACAGAGATAGGACAGTACTTGCCTTATATTGAGCGCATATACAATTTAAAACACGTCACTGGATTAATAATGCACAACCACACAGCGTGATTTTCATTTATTTTAGTAAATATTTCCCATGCAAGTTAGAGAACGTTGCACTCTCTTCTCACGTTCAGTCCCACCAGGTACAGCAAGGTAGGAATGGAACTGAAGTACCGACATAACCACACGTGTTAAATATTAATGGAATACATGCTCCAATCCTGAGCAATCCTTTCATGCTATACTTAACCATAACTTCCATCAAATCCTGCATCTTGTTATACTGCCTTAAACCTGCAACAATGAGTGCGTAGGCCATAAGAATAAAATGAATTAAAAATATACACACGAGCAATCATTTCTCTGGTACATACCCCGTTGGACTTGTAAAATTACATTCTCCGGTGATCTTCAAGCAATGGCTTAAATACCGTTATTTTTGCGTGGTAAAAATACTCACAAACCTAAGTTACTTTACAACTGACCCATCAAACCTTCCACATAAAATCGCGAAAAAAAAAATACAGGGGAGTCAAATCCACCTTTCTAAAATAAAAAGCTACAATTGTAAAATAAGAATGCATCTTAAACTCCGTTTTGCCCTATAATCCTCAACTCACGTTCCTGTAATGATGGGTTTCTAAACCCTGATCCTCCGGCAAAGGTGAGACAGACAAACAGGACAGAGGCGTATTGTTGGGAGCATTTTTACTCGTGCAGTGTGGGTGTGAGCTCCCACCAGCTTCTGCTGCAAATCCCACATCCTTGAGACAATCCTCGCAAAGATCAGGTGTATCCCACGTAATAATCCTAACAATAATCCTTGCATTTGACATAGCGCCTTATCGTGCCGTCGAGACGTCTCAAAGCGCCTCACAGGATACACAGTAAGGCGGGCGCTCCACAAAATGTCATGGGGGTAAGTGACCAATTTTATTTGAGGGATTGTTGGTCAAGACACCGGGAGAGAGAAGCTCATTTCTCTTTTTGAATAGTGCCACAGGGAGGTACATTGAAATGCGAGCCCCACTTCCCTCCGTCAGGACTGTCTTGGAGGGTCATCTTAAGCAATACCATTAACAAGATAATGCGTTGGTAGAAATCTAAGCTTTTTACAACACAAGTCCACAAACAGCGTACAGCGCAATAAATCACCGTTTGTGTCCAACATCCGACCCCCCTCCACTGCCATCCTTTCATCATGTACCCGAGATTTCAAAGGAGCTACAACTCCAGCCAACATTTTCCTCCAATCGCAGACGAGTGGTCAGATTTATGGACCTCTTATCTCCTGTGAGCCATTGCAGAAACACTCATTATTATTCTTGTCCTGAAACGAGATTCCACAGTGGTTCGCCTTAACCCTCGCCTCTCCCTGCAGGTTCTGCACACTTTATTACTGAGCTGTAACGATATGCTGCATTACACTGGCTGGCAGACGGGAGCTGGCGAGAGGATCAAGAATACTTGCACGGTTGGGTTTGGCCAAGAACGATTCAGAATTCCCAATGACCAAAAAAATTTGCCCCCACGCACTGAAGCCCGGCCCAAGTCACCGACATGTACGGTATATCGCTGAAGAGACACGATAGATTAAAGGACAGTCAATGAATCTTTAAAATCGTTTGCATCGAAGACAAACTCTTCCAATAAATAGCTGATGGAATTGTTTTGCCTGCTATAGAAACTCCTATTTTAACGTGACTGCTTCAATGAAAGCAGTTACTGAGAGCAATACTGTAGCTGCCTTTTGCCACTGGAATGAGGTGTCACACTGCTTCTTATGTTATAAGATTCATCATCCTGAACATCATGTTTGTTCTTCCACAGCACAGAAATGTCAGCAACTTGACCACAAGAGAAACTCAGCCTTCTGGTACCCGCCCTACCATCGTTAACATCTTTGAGACGTTTCTTAAAAGCCCACCCATCCACTTTCTGGCTTCAACTCTGTTGGTAACCCATTCCTGCTATAGAGAGACCGCTCTCGGTGCATAGGTGAATCTGCCTGATAAAAGCATCAACAGGAAGATTGCGAACGCCAGCGAATGACCACTCTCTTCCAGGATTTCCATCAGACCACTCAATTGCCATTAAAGCACGAAGAAGCTTTGCGCTGTTAATCACCAATAAAAAATACTTTCCGCTGTGTTGCAAAATCTTTGTGTTAAGCAGCAAGACCCAGGTCGATGCTTCGATCCCCTGTGTACTGCAGCCAGCGGCAGCCTGGCTTATACCACACGATGACTATGTTTCTCCAAAGCTCTCATCAAGTTTGAAATTCATTTTGAAACGTGCTTGTCCTGCTTAGAATAAAGGCAGTGAGCCAATTCCCTCCAGGAGCTACAGATCGGAGGAGTGTTTTATGATTTACAAAATTTGGCTGAGGAAATGGCATTGACCCTTGAACAAATAGCTTTTAACGGGGGTAAAACCCAAGCTGGTAGAGTATACAGAGTAGGTTCTCTACACGCAATGGAAACAGGACTACAGCCAGTTCAAATGAGTTCTTCTGCACTTTGGCACTTTAATCAAAACGGCAAGAGAATAAAAAAAAACAGACTTTATTTCATCCTCACTTCTCCCAACTGAACACCATGTTCCAGATGAATTGATTGGCAAGGGCCCTTCCTTAACGTAATGAGACACATTGGCAATCTGCCAGCTCCAGTCGGCTTAATGTTCAAGAAGGACATCCAATCTCCTTTGGCACCTCCCTCAGATAGTTTCGATTGCCCGAAGAATGGTGGATATGAACTTGCTGGTCAGGGGCACGGAGCCAGAGGATGCACATCCAACCGAGGTAAACTTACAAAGTGCAACGGTTCAATCAGATAAAGGGGATTTCCACACCAGTAACTGTTTAGCATCAACCTCCCAGCACTCCCTCCAACCCCCGAGTAACATTCTTTTATTTCCACACTCGAAGGACGCAACTACTCTCTCACAAAGCCGGCGCATGGGGACGCACTTACGTCCCTCTAAAGCCCTATATTAGGAAGCTCACCGCCCCCTCTGCCAATTAAGTCAATTGTTCACTTTATTTATGTCCATGCAGCACATTGTTTTTGATCGCGCCACAAAGTAGTCGGTAAATTGATGCTCTCAGAGGCTTCAGAATTGAAGCTAAGTAGCGTCTACGCTGCAAATATCTAGCATTCTCCCCGTAGAGAAAAGGAGTGACTCTTGTACATCTCTTAGCAGCTGTCTCAGATCTGGGCACAGGTACTGACTGGTTATTTATTACCTGCACTTCTCAAACAGGAGAAACCTGCCTTACAGCTATTCAATTACACAGAAATCTAGACAACGCCCCAGTTTGTGTGTGCACCAGTGCACTGACTATACATATACACTTCCAATCAATGAATGGAGCAGAAGCTCAGTCACAGCTGTCTTCCCGCAAGGCTCTTAGTATTTTCAGTGCTTATCCCTTTGCTTTACACTAGACTGAAGCTGTCCAGTGCAATCAGCGATGCGCCAGGACAATGTTATTTTTAACACGCCTGTTCCTATGCCTTTCTTCCCTTCAGGCACGAAACGAGTACTTTATTTATTTATCCCATCACAGATGCAACCATTTTTGCCTTCGTATTTTACTGGCTGTTGAAGCTGCACGTATCTCTGGACTACTTTAACCTTGGATCAAAAGTGAAGTTGTACAAAAAAAAATCTACACTGGGTTTTAATTTTGGCCAAATCTTCCTTTTACGGTCACAATTCGGATTCACCTGGAATGTTGGTTCCAATGGGAAATTATCTTCTCTCTTTCTCTGTGCTGTTCAAGAATTATGAGAGTTTTCATAAAGCTAACAGGGAGAAACTATTTGTCTTGTTCGAAATGTCAGTAACTGCAGGGCATGAATTTAAGAATATTACCAAAAAAAACAAAGGATGAGGTTTCAATTGTTTTTATACACAAAGAGCTATTGGGACATGGAATACCCTAACAAATAGTTGAAGCAAAATCCACAACAGCTTTAAACAGAGAATAAAAACATTTTCTTGTCAATTTTTTTTTAATTCCCCTTTTTAAAGCGATTATGGATTCTGCAGGGAAAATGCAGGGGAATGTGACTGAATGGATAGCTCTTTCGGAGAGCTGGTACAGGCACAACAGACGGAACTGGCTCCTTTTGTGCTGTGAACCTCTGTGATTCCGTGAGAATGTAATGCTGAATTTCATTTCATTTTCCCCCAAACGTAGAGAAGCTTTGACAGGGAGAGAAATGCCCACAGGCACCAAACCAATCATCCAACAGGAATCAGCTGGATGGACATAATCAGTTGCTCTTAGCACCACATCTATTTATATTCTTCAAATTCTGGACAAAATGGAGCAGGGTGCTTTTATTTTTTTTAAAAAATAAAATCAGTTTTCTAAGGATCAAGATTCATTGCCTGCCAAAGTAAAAACGCTCAAATACGATTCCGCGCCATGTGTTTAGAACCGGCTCTGAGAGACGATCCAATTGTGGTTTGTACTTTTCCACGCGGGAGGTGACATTTTGCTCAGCCGTTGATGTGATTGTCGACGGGCTTCCCATTAAACACAGCTCCAGATGGGACACAATAGCCGGAAAGCATTGCACACGGTTTCAATAACCCATTACTCTGGGTAGGCATTTTGCAACTCAGACCAGGAGTACTGGTTCACTGGTGATCACTGTCAAGGCGTTGTGCTTTCTTTCACGTGAACCATTCAAAGCTTCACATTGATTTATCCGACAGCAGCAACCTCAGTCATGTGGACAAGCAATCAGAGTTGATAAGATCCCTGAACATCGTAGTTGGGTTACCAAGCTCCACTGTATATTGAATCCCATATACTCTATAAGAAATAGATTTGACCATTCACCTTCCTTTAGGATCCTATCATTTGACAATGGCTATAATAATCCTTGCATTTTGATACTGCACCTCATCACGTCTTCGAGAAATCTTAATATACTGTAAAGTGGAATGGCGTCCAAAGTTTCCAGTGTTAAGCTGTCCCAGGCGGCCACAAGTGAGAATTTGCACACTATTTGAACACAAGGGCACCACAGCCGAGCCCAATCTTGCCCATCTCTCACGTTTGTACTCGCATACCTTCTGGCAAACAGTGCTCAACAGTTGACTTGGCTTTTTTCTCTCCCATGCCCTTGGGATGTCAAGATCAATTGCACAGCCCTCACTGGCTGAGTATTAAACTGGGAAAAGCCTTTAGCACCTCAACCTCTGGTCAAACTGTGGATTTTTATTATTATTATTTGAAGAGAAATACAACGACAAACAAGAAAAATTACATTTGGATAGCGCCTTTCACATCCAGAGGACATCCCAAGCCACTGGAAAATCAGGGTTTCGGACCCGAGCTGGGGGTCGGGATCGGGGAGGGTGGGGAAGGAGGGTGACCGAATGCACGGTCGAAGAGGAGGATCTTGAGATGGGTCTTGAAGGAGGCATGGAAGGCAAGGCAAGGCAAGGCAAGGGAGACAACTAAAGGGAACTGCTTTGCATCCAGGCACGCACTGCAGGTAATTTTGCTTAAAGACCGATTGTACCTCGACAGAATTTTACCTCTTTGGTTCAGAATGATCAGAGTCCACTCCATAAAAAACATTCCAGTTGAGCGCAGACTGTTTGCGCAAGTGAACGTTGCACCATTTAGGAAGAGGAACGGCCAAGTGTTGCGAAGCCTTTCGCAAGGAATCAATTGTGACATTCACCACACTTAGCTTTCCATTTTTGCAATGACTCTACTTTCAAATGAAAGAAAAAGGTTCCAACCTGCTATACTCTCACTCGGGAAAAGTCGAAACATACAACGCCGAAAGCCAAAACAACACTTTTCTGACAGTCCAAAGCAATGAAGCTAATATTTAGCATTTACTGAAATTAAAATACTGTTGATTCTTCTCCTCCCCTTTTCCTTCCCGCCACAATTCTTGTTGTCGCTTGAGGTTTCACCACAATGCAGGCAATTATGCAACTCCGTGCTACAATATCCTACCACATAACCAGCTCAATGAATTCTGCAGGATTCGAGTATTGACATTTAGGGCTTTTGTATGTCACCAAGACTGAAAGTGAGATAGTGGAATTAAAAAAATAGTCCCTTTCCTTCTCAAATCTGGCACAATCTCACTCCTAACGACATCCCTCCCTCCCCCAGACTGGAGGGAGGGAAGGGAGAGACAACATCAGACAGTTGCTCTGTAAAAATTATTAGTACTGTACAGTCCGCTGAGTGAGCTTCAGTCGCTCACTACTACAAGTCATTAAGTGATACCGAAGAATGAATGAAATTGAAATTCAACCACGAAGAGCAGTTATCCTGGAAAACAGCTACACGGTCCGAAGTGCAACATATCAAAGTACTCGCTTATTCCCACCAAAGCCGTTTATCAACATTAACAGGGTAGTTTCTCACTGTAAACTGCACTGCACTAACAAGAGTTCCAGGTGAAATACTAAGCCACTTTAGCTTACGAAAATTTTAGTTGAGGGATCACTGTCAATTTTCCTTTCATTCCCATTCCTCTTCCCTCACTGGAGGCATTGCCTTGTACAGAGGTATTGTTTCCCTGGTAATTGGCGACTCTTCGCGAGCGCTGGTTAACTATAGAATACACAGCACCGGAGTAAGTCACAGCACCGTCACGTTCTCGCTCACGTACCATCACTCGCTATCTCTCACCCATCCCCACCCTGATCCCATTCATTCTCAAAGACCTCTGACACTGGGGACATGGCTGCCAGGGCCAATCCCGTCCTCACAACGTTTGCCAGGTTGACTTCAACCTCTCCTCCCAGGTGACACAGCGAAATGCATCCTCATACGTTCAACTACCTTTCTCCATTCCACCCCAACCCTAAGGGCAGCTAACTCAGAGCAGGTCATCATTCCCCGGGACTTTCCTCTCCCGTCCGACCCAGTGATACTCGGCAGGAGGGTGCATTTCCTGAGGAAGCCATAAAGATGATAACTCACGTTACAACGACGGGGAGGGCGAGGAGAACGGGCAGTGTTGCAGTCAGCGCACGCACACGCACACACACACACACACACACGGCACCGAGCTGAATCCCTCTCCCCAGTGCCCTTGGGCTTTGATAGAGGGAGGGGATAATGAATGAGCAATAAGAGATTAGCAGTAACCAGAGCTGACCTCGTTAAGCAAACTCAGCTTCAGAAGAGAAGGGAGGGAGAAGGCAAACCGACCCAACACTAACATCATCCAGGAGCCTGACTCCCCCTCGGGGTGGAGAACGTTCGTGATGAATAATAATTAAAATCATCAAATAATACAATTAATGACACGACTCCCAATAATCATTGCCCAATAAATAAAAAAAACGAATCAACCGAAGGAGTTACCGGTTTAAGGAGCTGCGATTTACCGCAACCCCAAGCATAAAGCAACTGATCGGCAAGAAAACTTAAAATTGTGATTAAAAGTACCGCGACAACGGCCCTGAAAGAGTAAGCGCAACAATCGCGAAAAGAACACAAATCAAAAGTCATCGCTAAACGATGAGTGAAACCGAGTCGCGGACTGTAATTAATGACCAAATAATGTAATTAATGACCAATAATGGAACGGCGGAAAGATGTATCACCATCAATCACGAAACAGAAGATACGGGTGGTTTACGCTTAATCGAATATTGCAAAATCTTCCAACGCGGCGCAAGCGATACCATCGCTCGGCTGAACCGAAGGCGGACAAATAACAGCGGCGCTATCGTCGACAGCGAAAAAGAAAAGTATTATCCCATCGGGTGAGAACCAACTGAAGGGACAAATAGCATCGACGTTACCAATCGGGACAGGGAATATCTTTCTTTATAATCCAGAAGGTGAACTGAAGGGGGGAGTGGGGTGGGGGGAGGGTGTGGGGTGGGGGGGATGTGGGGTGGGGGGGATAAATAAATATTTTTGATTTTAATAATTATTAAATGCAGGTGGCGGTGGTGGGGGGCGATTAATATTCCTTAAATGTATGATTTTTTTGGGGGGAGGGGTTTGGGGGGTAATTATTAATCCCTTAGTGCATGATTTTTTTTTGGGGGGTGTGTGTATGTGAGGGTGTGTGTGTGGGTGTGTGTGTGTGTGTGTGGGTGTGTGTGGGTGTGTGTGGGGGTGTGTGTGTGTGGGGGGTGTGTGTGTGTGGGAGTGTGTGTGTGTGGGAGTGTGTGTGTGGGTGTGTATGTGTGTGGGGGGGTGTGGGTGTGTGTGGGTGTGTGTGTGGGGGTGGGTGTGTGTGTGGGTGTGTGTGGGGGGGGGTGTGTGGGGGGGGGTGTGTGTGTGGGGGTGTGTGTGTGGGTGTGTGTGTGGGGGTGTGTGTGTGTGTGTGTGGGTGTGTGTGTGGGGGTGTGTGTGGGAGTGTGTGTGGGGGGGTGTGTGGGAGTGTGTGTGTGTGTGTGGGTGTGTGTGGGGGTGTGTGTGTGTGTGGGGGTGTGTGTGGGTGTGTGTGTGTGTGGGGGGGGAGAGTCCCGCTCACGGTCGCGGCCGAGCAGCGAGGCCGTGTCTCTGAAGTGGAGGGGGAGGGGGGGAGAGAGCGTCTTTGGCGCAGGAGGCCCGAGGCCCGGGGTGGGGGGGGGGAGAGGGAGAGCCTCGGCCTCACGTACCCGGATCCGGCCGCGCTGGTGGCTCTGATGGAGTGGATCCTCAAACGGTTGGCCACGTCCTTCAGGGCCTGCAGGGTGTTGGCGTCGGGTCTGTGGTAGTCGGCCATGGCTGGTGTCGGTGCTGCTGCTGCTGCTGCGGATGCCGGCGAGTGAGGGCGGGAACGGGAGTGACGAGCCTCACCTCCTCCTCCACCACCACCACCACCACGCGCCGCGCCCGCCTCCTCCTCCTCCTCCTCCCGCCCCCTCCGCCGCTCGCCAGTGGTCACTCCCTCCAGACTGACAGCGGCCTTGCACCAATCACCGCTCCCCTTCCCCGCCCACCGGCCCTCTATTGGTCAGCTGTCAAAGCTGACAGCTCGGCGGGGGCCAATCACTACCTCCGCTCGCTCCGGCACGGCTCCGCCCCCTCCCCCCCATTGGTCTAGTCCCCCCCACGGCCCCGCCCCCGCCAGACTTGACAGACAGGAAGCTTCGAACCAATCACGGCTCTCCTCCCAGCCGAGGCGTGGCGTCGGTCGCGCCGCGGGGCGGATCGACAGCCTCGGCAGCCAATCATCTTTCCGGCTGGTGCCTGGCGGCCCGCCCCCCCCCCCGCCCGCCCCGGGAGACGGACAGCTGTCCTGACCACTCACAAGTCCCGTGTGTCAGGCAGCGCCCCGCCCCCTGCCCGGTGTCTGGTCTCTCCATCACCTGATCCAGGGGTTGGAAGGGAAGAGACCCAACCAACACATGGTGTCCCAATGCCTCCCACTGTCACCCTCTGCCTCTCCACATGTGGCAACAGCAGCCGTCATCAATATATATACACACACACACGTGTATATATATATATACCTTATGTGATAATAATCCTCGCCTTTGCCGTTGCCCCTTATCACGGCGTTGAGAGGCGGCGCTCGTCGCGGAGCACCGCAGCCCACGGCACACGCGGCGACGTCCCGCACATTAAATGTTAACCTACAGACCGACCCACCGAACGGTTAATAATAATAATAATCCTTGCATTTGATATAGCGCTTTTCACGTCAGGAGGACGTCCCAAAGCGCTTCACAGAACACACTGCTGCCGATGCAGCCGAGCAATTCGCATCCGACCGCAAATACGCAGTCACTTCACTTTTACAGTGTGTTCCGTGAAGCGCTTTGGGACGTCCTCCCGACGTGAAAAGCGCTATATCAAATGCGAGGATTGTTATTATTATTATTATTATTAAAGGCTCTCTATTGAGTGCGTTGCAGCTGATTGCCGGCTCGGCACTCGCTTCACGTTGTGGCGCTTTGCCGTATGCAAATCGGCCACTGCACAAATACAGCCACTACGTGGCACAGTAAAATTCTGTGAAGCACTTTAGGGTGTCTCGTCTGCATGATAAGGGGTCAAAGAAATTGCATACAATGTGTGTATCTCTTCCCTCCTGCTTAATAATAGACTTTTTTTTTAATGAACTACCCCCCCACCCACCCAACTGAATGCAATGCATAATAGCAGAATCAGATCCAATATTTAATCACAAAAAAATCAGGAATCGACAGTTTTGTTGCAGGTGTTGAAAAACACCCTTTTTTTTGAATTTTTATTACAAAAATATACTTGCGAAAGTACAAAACAAAACTTGACACATTGAAAATGACTATTAATTCACAGAATAACTATTTTTTTTCTTTTTTTTTAATTAATTAAATTAAAAAAACACAGAACATTGACAATGCGCAACAGGGCCTACATTCCACACACACACACACACACATCAAAGCACGGGCCAATAATAAAGATGTTAAAAGCATTAATATTCCCGATCTCAGCCTGATCGCAAGGGGTAAAGGAGCCAAGGAACATGGGATTGCAGGGTGGGAGATTTTCTTTTTTTTTTTAAAAAAGGAATATACTTTGGACTATGAATAGTATGCAAGTGCTCACTTGCTCACTTACTATGGTAATGTAACTTGGGAGCAAATTGCTTGTCCTTTCTGACTAGCTCATGTGGAGGGGAGGAAGAAGATCAATTCTAAAGGTGGACAGCTTTCCATTAAAAAAAAAGAAATGTTGCTTAAAGAAAGTCTTCTCAAAACCAAATAAAACCAAGTAAAATTGGGCTGAATGGGTCAAGATAATATAGGAGGGCAATTAAAAATAACCTGATATTTAAGACTGATCTGCCAACTCAAAATCAAACACAAAATTCATAAATAATGCATCTTAAAAATGATGCAATGCTAAACAAGAGTCCTTTGGATCCAGTACGATGAATGAAAGTTGACGTTGTGCTAACTTATGTTTATTAATTGAGAAACTGGCACCCATGTGGGTAAATACGTGTTGAGCCTTGCTCATATCAGTTCATAATCAACTGAGTTGCAGTTGTATCATGTGATTCCAAACATTCAATTATGCCAGTAATTGAAAGGACAATTTGGGTACAAAAAAGGCTCTCGACAATAACAAATATTATTAATCTAGTGCTAAATCTTCCTATGTCTACAGCTCCCATGAGGTGAAACTTCTCAGTTGCAGAATCAGAAAATTAAAGTGAGAAGCAACAAAGCAGTAAATAAAATGGAATACGAAACACTGTGTGGTTAGAAGTCTATATTCCGGGGGTTATCATGCTTTGTGGGAAATCTTTTTGGCATTTGGCTACTGCAACTTGCATTTCCACATCCTGAGAGAGAAATTGGTGATACTGGCTTGGGGACTGAATTGATCTATTTGATGAATCAACAAGACAAGAACGCAGGGAAACATGAGCTTTGACACAATTCACTTTACTCTGACGCAAATCTGCACGACCCTAGGATATTCAGAAGTACAAATGAACAATTGAGTGTGGCATATAGTTAAACTTGGCTTCCCTTTTTTTTAAAAAACATAATTGCGCTTCACAATGCAAAAAAAAAACACTGTCTGAAATCAGGGAGAAGTCTCCCTAGTTTGTAAAGGAATACCTGCATGCTTATTATTGATCCTTTTGTATCTAGGAGTGCTTTCCCTTACAAATGTCAGCTGTACGATTAATATTTCCTCATAAAGGCAAAAGGAAATCAGAAATAATTTCTATACAAATATGTATAGTAGAGGTTAACTTAATGCGGGGGAGGAACCACATTAAAAATGCTGATTAAAATGCCTTCCTCTGCACCGAAACAGTAAAACTAAACTCTTAAAACTCCAGAAAAGGACAATTCAGGGTTATTATTTTTTTTTAAATGTTGCTTTGTGGCATTGAAGATTGAATGAAATGAATGAGGATTCTTCCTAACAAGGAACAAACACCAACAATTAGTGTCCAGCAGATTCCTCCCACCTTCCCCCCACCCCCACCACCAATCTTTGCACAAATAAAACCCCGTCCGAACAGGAGAGACGAAAGTGTTCTATTGCTCAACGATTACATTACGCCCGTAAAAGGCAAAATGCATAAAGGTATTAACTGAGAAACTCTGGGATATGCCAAATACATACCCAGTAATGCCTGAGACATTTACGCTGGAAAATACTTTGTAAACGGAGAAACTGCTGGGCCAGTGATGAGTTGCAGCAATCACAGAACGCGAATGCTAAAACACTTTTTTGACAATTAACTTGACAAAGGTGACTAATATCACGATATTGCATTGCTGAGTACAGACTGTTTTCTGAAGTGTTTGTTTGTACTTGTACAGAGGCAGGTTCCCTTGTGCTGCAGTTCAATGTGCTTTTTTCTCCCTCTCACAGCTTGAGGTTACCTATATTCTTGGTGAGGATCTGTAGATACGCCTCATGGATTGTGCTCAGAAATTCAGAGTCGTTCTGTGAAAAATGAAATGACATTTTAAAAAAAAATTCAATCCCTGCAGACAAACTTGCTGAGCCTGATGATTAGATTAGTCAGGCTGAAACAAAGCCTCCCTATTCTTCTCGTTGGTAGTTCAGCCTCCACATGCCTTGTGCATTGTTCTGCTGCGAGAGAAATGGTGCTACAGATGCTTATCTCAGGAAAGATAAACTCAAAATATTTGAGAATCCTGTGATCGCCCCCAAAATTACACTGTAGAGCAGCCCGGCTGGCAAACTACTACTCAGCTCGTTGACAAATATAGCTTTCAGTGTAGGCTAGAGTTAAATATCAGGGACTGATCATGCAACAATGGCTAAAACAGCAATCTTTTCAATCCATAACATGATTCCACATTATCAAACAAGTTGAATTGGATGTACTTTTTTTTAGCAATTGTCATGTACACCCCAGAGATGATTAAAGAAACTGTGAAACAAGACAACGTCTGTGCTCATGACACAAAGAACAATCACAAACACATGGCTTGGCTGTTCCTCTCTCTCACCCTCGCTCCCTCCTTCTCTTATTCAAGCACAGAGCCGATCACAATCCAACCAGGCTGAGATCAACAAAACAAAAGACCACAAATTGAATAAGAACATAAGACTTTGCTAGGCGAAAGAAGACCAAGGTCCGTCTAGTTCGCCTTCCACCACCCTGAAAGTCAGTCGCTTGATACGTTGTGTTCCAATCTATATACTGGATATCCTGAGATTTTATTTTCTAGCAGAAATCAATCTAATTTGTTCTTGAAACAATGAAACCTTACAGCCCGTAATGGTTTGGCGTTGCCTTCACCCATCAAAAGCTCTTTAATCTCAGATTCCCTCTTTCCCCGTTAGATAGGTCAGCTTAATAAATAAAATAATCCTTGCATTTGATATAGGGCCTTATCACGTCTTCGAGACCGTACCTATGTTATGCATTGTAAAACTACCTAGGAAGGTAAATTCTATATGAAGGACCATTACCTTTATTAGATGGGTTAGAGTATCCTGGAGTTGGGTCTTACTGAGGACAGTTGGCAGTGGTGAACATCGAGGGTCTGATGCTAATGTTAAAGGGGAGGCTGAAAGGCACTTGCTCTCAGCTTCTGATGCCCTCCCTGCTGATGGCTTGAAAACGCTGGGAGACAGGAGCATGGACGAGTTAGTGACCGGTGTGAGAATGACCTACAAAAAGGAGACATGGATTTAAAGCGGAAATTGAATGCTTGTAGAATCATAGAATCTTACAGCACAGAAGGAGGCCATACAAATTAGTCCCCCTCATCCGCTCTTTCCCCAATAGCCTTGTAAATTTTTCCCAATGAAATTTATTATAGAATCTGCTTCCACCACCCTTTCGGGCAGTGCATTCCAGATCATAACAACCTGCTGCGTAAACTAATTTCTCCTCACCTCCCCTCTGGTTCTTTTGCTGCTTCAGTGACTAACGAGAGAGTTCTCGTTATACATTCTCTGGGTATGAATGTAAACAACGGAAACCGGGGGAAAAATAGTCTGCACCAAGGGATGCGAAAACAATCATGCTGATAATCAGAATAATACCAGACACGTAAAGATCGAATTTAAACCATCCCTTCATTTCCCCCTCACAAATGAACTCTTGGGTGGGTTGAAATTCCAATCATTACGCTTCTGGCGATTTTGGTGATGAGAAATCCCATTAGCAGCTGATGTCGCTACATACAACACCATTCAGCCCATTGTGGTTTGGGGATACCTTCCTTCAAACACACACACACAAACTGCTGAAACTCTGACCAAACACGAGATTTGCTGTAAGCATAAATCGTGTCTCGTTATCCAACAACAACTTGCCTTTATATAGCTCCCCTCACACAGGGTATCATCCAAGAGCACTTATCCGTACCTGCATTGAAGCATCCGCGGATTTTGTGTTGGATTCTTTGAAGCTCTCTGGAGTGACGAGCAATGGGGTGAAATTGGCCGCGAGGCAGGGCTTGCCGACAGTCTGGTGCTGCTGCTCGTGCTGCTGTGTCAACTTGAGTTTCTGAAGCAGCTCGTGACCCTGGAAGCCAAAACCCCCAGTGGCTCTCGCTCCGGGGCCGCCTTGTGCCGTTAGAATCTGATTGTTTCCCGGAGTCAGGTTCTGAGGCGTACGGCTCAGCTCAGAGGAGAGTGGGCACATCATCAAGGGCGAGACTGCTTTCATGTCGTGTTGCAGGCTCTGACCCAAATCACTGATACCGATGGCGAGTGTGGCTGGATTCGTCAGAGCCTCAGAGTTTAGAGCGGGTTTAAAGAGAGGGCTGGTGCGAATGTTGTGTTTGGCACTGCATTTATCGGACTGCTGGATTGCGGCTGGTGACATCAGCACTTGCGCCTTGGCGTCCTGCAGGGTCAGTTTAGGAAAATCAGCCTTGTGTTTCGGACTCTCTGGTTGCTTTGCCGTGGTTGACCCCTCGTAAGTGAAAGGCAGCAGCAGGTTTTGCCTTCTCCCCGTGGCTTCTTGTTGGGACATCATTAACATCTCCTGGCTGGGGTGCAAGAACGGAGCCTGCTCTTTTGGAACGGAGGTTCCAAATAATTCCTCCACGGTCAAGTGACGAGGGGTTGAGACGTGCTGCAGAGAGGGTTTAAAAAAAACAAAGAATCACCTGTTTGTATAACTAACAACAGCAACAACTTGAATTTACGTTGTGCCCTTCGTAGGTCAGGGGTAGCGCATCGGATTGTTGACTCATGCCGAGCTGGGAAGAAAGGCGGTGACCGTAAGCGTGGCCGAAGAGAAAAGTCTTCAAGTGTAATCTGAAGATGGGTAAAGAGGGGGCAAGCCTGTCTGTGGGATATTGCTGTGTGCAATTGTGCGCAGCTGCGTTTCGCCCACAAACTACGCAGTCAATTTCACTTCACAGTGTATCCTGTGAAGTGCTTTGAGACGTCTCGAAGATGTGATGAGGCGCTGTATCAAATGCAAGGATTATTATTAAAACGGAGCGATTGAGGCAGAGAGACCCAGAGGAACTCATTGCAGTGCATTCAATTATCACTCAGTCAAAGTACCTGATCCTGCTGCTGCGCTGACAAATGTTCAAAGGCTTCGATTGAGGTCGATTTGACGAGGCCGACATTGTTCTGTAAGCTGGGGGAACTCGATAAAATGCTCGAGTCATCCGGGTAATATCCCTGAAAATAATTTTTTTATTTTTGAAACAGTCAAATGCAATTAAAGCGAAGAAAAATCTAACCCTCACTCATTGACTTCTCTGGTTGCTTTGCTGTTAATTAGAAAATATAGGCAAGTCAACAGTCAAACTGAAATCTTTACTTGAACACAACTGTCTCCTCTTCTCTTCCCCCCCCCCCCCCCCCACACACACACACAGTAATTAACAGCTGGAACAACAACAAATTACATTTGTATAGCTCCTTTCACGTCAGGATGTCCCAAGGTGCTGGTCAGTCGGGGATTTTGACTGGATTGCTAAGAAAGATGGTTGTGGCCAGGACCCTGGGGTAATTAAAGATGAGCTGTGATAGGGAGGCAGCAAGGCTAGTATTCTGGAATGACGAGATAAAATAGGCCAGGAGGTTTTCTTCCTCCAAGCCTCTTGTGACCTCAGTGCAGTAGATATCACACAACCACTAGATGGCTACTGAGTTCCTTAAATAGGTGCGCTGCGTTTCTAGGAACATTTATACTCTTATCAAAACCAGGATGACAAGGAATTTTGTTCAGTTCTGATTCAGGCTAAAATTGACTTTCTTCTGCACTGTGAACGGGCCTGACCATCCAGAATAAATTGCATGTGTTTAGTTGTATCCAATTAGCCAAAGGAACCGGAAACCAGTGAGGTCTCCAGTCAAACAAACTGCACAAGCCTGATTTAATCAAACAAAATCTTAATGATAATAAAATAATTATGCATCAACTGTAGATAAATCAGAGCTGTCAGTTACCACCTTGCAGTGTTTCACTTTGACTGGAAAGCCTGGGGGACAACTGTTTTACTTCCTGGCTCAAGAGAGATAGAACGTGAAATGTGGAGCATAAATGTCAATGTCAGGATAGGTGAGGCTTCATGTCCATGTCCCAAATTGAGTTCAGGCAGGGAAGGTGTTCGCTCATAGGTGAGAAGATGGCAAATCACACTGCCATACTGTCGCACTTCTCAGGAGGCAACTCATGTGGTCCATAGCAGCTCAAGAGGATGTTCGCCCACAAAATACACAGTCAATTCACTTTATCACTTTCAGTTTATTCTGTGAAGCACTCTGTGACGTCTCGAAGACTTGATAAGGTGCTGTATCAAATGCAAGGATTATTTTTATTATTGTGCCACCCACTCGATCTCAGTTCAGATCCTGCACCATTTGTGGAGCCTAAAAGACCAGAAACTGCAAACTTATCCCAGTAGAATGTATTTGACCAACACGCTATTTGTTTGGCATTATCTAATGCGGACAGAACATCACTGAGGATGCAAATTTTTGCTTCCAGTTTCATGCTGTCACGCTATCCTTCAATGAATATTTCATAAGTGGATTCCTTTCTGCCTTATGACTGACTGGAAAATTGAGCCTTTGTCACTTGAACTGTCTTGCAAACTAGCTTTTAATTCTGATAGTGAGGTGTTGCAGAGTTATAGATCCAGAAACAACAGTGAAAAGGTGGGAATAAACAGTACAAAGGCAGGGGTAGTGGTTAAGGGTTTTGTTGGGACTGTATCTCACAGCTTCAGGCGAGAGAACTACATTAAACACGAGTTGCTATTCAGTGTTTAATCCTTACAGTTAATACACCAAACGTCTAAAGTGCTTCACAGGTAATTGAAGTCAAGCGCAGCGACTATCATTTGTAGACAAACCCGGCGTTTATATTTAACCTGCTTTAATCCTTACTCGTTCATACTCTTCCTTGGCTTTGCTGAGCATGTCCAGGATGTCGATAGTATTTTCTTCGTCAAAGCCATTGGTCTTGTTGGGAGAGGTTCCCTCAGGTGATTCCTGCTGAGCTTCCAGATGCACTACCCTGAGAAGCCAACAGTGCAGCCATTACAGCAGTTACCAGAAGCAGTAAATACAGTCAAGATTCTTCGATGTCAAAGGCGCTTTGTAAATGCAAGTTGTGATTCTAATTCTCAACCCACGCATGTTAAATGTCAAATGGCCAATGAGGTTTCTCAATCTACTTTAAATCCGATGCCTCGCTATGTTTTGTTCTGAGCTGCGCATGAAAGCTAACCAAAGGCAGATTGCTGACCTTCACCCCACATAGTACCCTGACAGGAGATAAATGAACGACAGCCATCAGCTGTCATAAAAACAGGTGTATCAATGCTGCTGCTGCCGCCACCTCAAAACGTGCTATACCATCACAGTCAAACTCAATGGGCTCCAGTATTCCCACATCCTTGTTACATAAAATCTCACTTTAATCTAATCTGTCCCACTACATTTATGAAACTGATAAAGAGATATTCTTGGGAGTAATGTGGAGAACTCAAACAAATCGGGATTGAATTCTGCAGCGAGGTCTCACTTCACAGATAAATTCTTTACTCAAATACTGGATATAATATTCTGTTTTGGTTCAGAGTTCATTTCATCAAAAGAGTTATTTATAACTTCACCAACTAAACAGCACCAAGCAGCTTTGAGCTGTGTGAATGGGGTCTTTGCCTCTTCAGAACAGCGGGTTGCTCAAGAGGAGAAAGACCGTGAACACCTGGCTATCACCTGGCTATTAGTGGAGTCCTGTAGCTCGGTGGTTAGAGCACTCGCTTTGCAAGCGAGAGACCTGAGTTCAATTCCAGGCATGTCAGGGCGAAACCTTGGCCAAGTTTCCTTACTCCACACAGAGCCTAATAATAATTCCTCCAAAACCAAAAACAATAATAAATTGGTCATTTTCCATCTACGACTGTCTGTGGGACATTGCTGTGCGCAATTGGCTGCTGCGTTCGCCCACAAATATACAGTCAATTCACTTTACAGTGTGTTCTCTGAAGTGCTTTGGGACATCCTCCCGACGTGAAAAGCGCTATATCAAATGCAAGGATTATTATTATTATCAGAAGCCTCCGCTTTATTAGCCGGCCATGCTGAATGCGAGATCCCAGCAGGACCCACGAAGGGGGATAGGAAAGCCACCACAGGTGAGATGACCCTGTTCTTGCCGGACATTGGCAGAGAGGAGCTGTTAACAATCAGCAATTGGGACATTAACTGATTAACCTTACCCACCCCCCACCCCACCCCCCCCAAACCGAGGGGTATTGAGACCAACGATAGCACCTTTAAGTATTGTAACGCTGCCTAACTCAGCAAAGACTAAGAATCCAGCCTGCGACCTGACTGGCAGGGCTGAACGCTGCACCAACTTTGTGGTGTCTCTAACCACTAAATAGGGGTGGGAGGGAAATTACACTGAACTGTAGTTCAATATGCCTCCCTCATCTGCCTCCTTTCGGTGCAGGAATACTAACTATCCACTCTTTACAAAAACAAAGCGGGATAATGAAAGGAGAATTGTGTTACTAGATTAATATTCCTCATTTTATTTGCAGCTTTTAATACTTTTCGGAGTAACTGAAATTATATATCTATATATATATAAAAAATATAAATTAAAACTGTAATTTGCTTTTTGAAATGGGAATTTAAGATTATCATCCTGCCACCCACAATGTTTTTATAGCAAGCTGATTTAATAGCAAGCAATCACAGCAATATCAGCAAATACAGTACTTACTTCGACATAAGTTGTGCGATTCTGTGACAGTCATTCTTGTCATAAAACCAGATGCTGTAAATGGACACTAAGAACAAATGGGAGAAAAATGAGTCAAAAGTATTCCCTCACCTCCCTACTTATCACAAACTCAAACTTCCTTCACCCTTGACAACTCTAAGATCACACCGTTAGCCTGTACCCCACCCCCTCCACACACACACACACACACACACACACACACACACAGCCAACAAATCATTGGCCCACGACAGGTTGATTGGCCACATTTTGTGCTCTAAAATTCTATCATTTTAGTCTCTCAGTTATTCATTAAATGTATGAGTCTCATTCAACCAATGAATAATAGAATGTGAGTTTCCATTTCTCCATTTTGGGAAGAAAGAGACGAAGTGCATTCGAGAGACCTACAAGATTAGGACATTCATTAAATATTTAGTGACGTTTTTGCACCACCCAAGCCACTTTGGTGTGGAGACCGCGCTCCTAATAGCCCCAAACAATTATTTTCTGTGCCACACGTATGTCAATAAAGAGATATGGAATCAACAGATGACAGCTTAATGGACAACTGAGGAAGATATGAATTCATTAGCTCCGGACACAAGGTGACAGGGAAGCACTAACTGTGCTTTCAGTATCGTCAGTCTGTTAGCACATCTGATGATTCACATTCTGCTTCTGGCAACCAGTCCCAAAAAGTCCCCATTAGATTATCAGTGTCATTCAAGAGCCTAAACAAATTTGGAGTCATATTACAGGCTTGAATTTATACTGGACTCTGTTCTGCATTTATTTACTCTGAATCTAGGAAAATACCAAAGACAAAAAAAACTGTTTAATTCATTTCAGCTTTGCAATCAAATCTACTACTTTAACGGTGAGGGGGAGTAATGGGAGAATAAAAAGATGTCAATAATGTGATTCTAATTTCAGATGAGCTGAAAATTCCTATACTGTACTTGAACACATTTAATCTAAAGTACAACTGTGGCCTCTAATATTAAAGCAATTGGGCCTAGTCATTATTTTTCACCCACAAAATATAGTCAATCCACTTTACACTTTGAAGCGCCTTTAGAGAAGTCTCAAAAATACGCTAAATCAAATGCAAGGATTATTATTTTGTTTTCAGAGCATTTTTCCAGTTCGCAAATTTAACCGGTTTCCAGTTATGTCCGGTGGAGTGCGCGGTGAAGGGGAGGTTTTAGAGGTTAAAGGTTCCCACAAAAGCAGAGCAAAGTTTTACCAGCATACAACTAATCGTCTGATGGAACATTTCAGTCTCCCCGGATTGAACAGTTTTGAAAGTTGTTAAGTTCACAGGACACGACAGTACAGAAGGGGAAAGAACTGGGCTCTATTTTCCGCCCGACCCTTCACCACCCACCCCCAGTGCTGCCTTAAGAGACAATCAATGTCAGGACAGTGTCTACCGGTGTGGGCTCCGAATGCCTCACATAACTGCTGTGACTGATCAGCTCAGCTGCCACCAGGTTTCTCAAACTTGGGCAGCATCACGTCACCTCGAGCTCTGCCCCTCCTCGGCCACAGATGCAAGCGTGCTCGCTCCTTTGTTCTTTCCAACTTGATGGAAGACAGGACTGGACTGAACCAATTCCCGTGGTTCTCTGGACTCTGCAAACGCGCTTTGAATGAACACACAGGAGTGACAGGCTGCTGATATCGTTGAAATCACTCGCTGATTCGAGGTGGTTTGTATCTGGGGGACACAAGCACATGAGCGGCTGCACTTGGTGTTCCTACAGGGCGTTTGAACTGGTTGGCAGCTCGAGGTGCGTGCCGAGTTCCCTGCCTGAAATTCTCCAGTCGTCAGGCGAAGTACAGTCTTCACTCAGCTGATGCGGCAAACCCCTGACATCGCACCCTCATCGAAGCCAGCATGAACATCCAAGCGGTTTCAAAGGAGCTATTTTTTAAAAAGAAGCGATCTCACCCCGAACTCAAATACAAAGGGAAAATTATAAGCGAATCGCACCTCGAGCCATATTTCTTTAAAGCCCGGCGAGGTAAGTCTGTGCTTTGTAGTTCTATTTTGGCTCGGGTATATAAGTTTAGCTAAAAGGCAACTGGTGCACTGCGCTGTTTTTTCCATCACTTTCCATTCAATTCAAAAGGCGACTGTGCATATTGGACATTGGTGAATAATTCAGCAAAACATCTCTGCGATTTGGGTGAGTTTTTAGTAGCACGGATAAACAGTGCCTCCAAAATGCATGCTAAGTACTGTGACTTTTGAACAGAACCCCCAAAAGGGTCGGAACAGATTACAACTGACAGGAACTCTGTTAAATTTACATTATTCTGAAAAGGAAAACTTTGGAACAGCAACCAAATCGAGGCCTGTGTTCAAAGTAGATAATAATATAATAATAATAATCCGTGCATTTGATATAGCGTCTTATCACATCTTCGAGACGTCTCAAAGCGCTTCACAGAATATACTGTAAAGTGTAGTGCCCGTGTTTTGGGTGCGAAATGCGGCAGATGTTTTAAAAACTCACGAAAGATGCAAATTAGCATTCCAAAAATAAAACGCGTCAATTTTAAGGCCGGCAAATTTTCTAAAAAGCCTAAAAAAGGGTGAGATTACTGCATTATTTGGAGCCTTCAGGGTAAGAACTTCTGGAATGTGCCATCTGTTTCTAACAAATTGGGGTGAAAAAAAAAGTTTGGTTGCAATATTTATAGTACCACTTAGGAGCAGGAACAAGGCCATTAGCTTGAAAACTGGGACATTATCTTATCAACCCCAACTCGTGTGGTTGAAATGAGCATAAAAGGGAATGGATGTTGCAGTTCTTAACATCAGTTTAAGCCCTAATGGATAACACACCTCTATTGAAAAAAAGTAAATGGAGAGCTCAGTGTGTATGTACTAAATCGATTCGCTTTATAATTGGTAATCCATAAAAACTTGACTCAATTTTTTTAAGCCTACTTTGGAAGCAATACTATCCCACAGCTCATCAGGAGCATGTTATTTTGAACCAGATGAACAATATTGCATCTTTCTGCAGTTCTGCCCATCAGCACGACACAGAATCATAATAGTTCTTGCATTTGATATAGGGCCTTATGTCTTCAAGACGTCTCAAAGCACTTCATAGAATATAATGTAAAGTGAATTAACTGTATACTTTTTGGGTGAAACGTAGCAGCCAATTGTGCGCAGCAATTGTGGATTGAGTGACCAAATTATTATTATTTTCTTGAAGGGATTATGGGGTGTGAGTGAACAGTCAGCCATTAGGGACATTCAAGGGATACTGCTGATAGTTTTACTCGGTGAAGAGAAACCTAAAATAGTGGAATGTGAACAGCGTCTGTTGGGTGTTTGCTCACGAGTTAAATCAGTTGCTGCCATCAGTGTTTACACAGGCAGTGACAGGTGCTAGACATTTAGTGGCGATAAGGAATACACACTACCAGTGATATCCTGTAACCCCACTGTGCCCACTTTAATCAAGATTACCCCTGAGCCGCTGAAACTAAATGTAGACAATCCCTTTTGTATAAATTATACTCCCAATAAACAAAATTGACAATTAGATTCTCTTTCCGTCACATTTGCTTACAAACAGTCACTACAATTGACACCTTGGCACCTATCAAGTGCTTTGAAATGTTGCAATGTTAAGTCGAATGCAAGGGATAACTAGATTACAGCACTGAGACGCAACTTCTCTCTCACTTGCGCGCGCACACACACACACAAAAAAGCAGAGCAGCACCTCTTGATTTGTTTCACGAAGTTATAACACTTATAATAATAATAATACTTGCATTTGACATTTTTATCAACTGCCATTGAACCACATTTAGGAGTAATAATCCTTGCCTTTGATACAGCGCCTTATCACGTCGCGAATATACTGTAAAGTGAATTGACTGTATTTTGTGAGTATTTATATGTATTTTGCACTTATAATAATAATCCTTGCGTTTGATATAGCGCCTTATAAGTGCAGGCTTATATTTGTGATACAAAAAATGAAAGGAGACACTTCAATATTACGTTAGCTAGAGCACAAAGGTACACTCAAAGATCATCCTTCCAATAGAACTCGGCTCAGTTCATAGACAGTTAACCGATCCAGTGTTTTATGCACATTTTGTCAACTCAGCAATTCAATTCAACAGAAAATGGCAATATACACAGTGTTTTGCCTCGGTAGTTTTTTTCTGTGCCAAAATCAACACAAAGTATTAGCAAAACATACAAAATTAAATTGCTGAGTCTGCAGGACAGTGGAACTCACATAAATTGTACCAGTCGGGACCATAACATCTAATATGACTTGCGTGAAGTCTGAGTTACAGGCAAACTTGTGTAATTCGTATAAAATCTGATTTAATCAACAATCTGCACTGCGTACACATAATTCAATGCAGCCGATAAATGTGCATGCGGTGACGCGTCAAGTCTACATTTCCCACGATTCAATGTGTCTATCCATTGCGGTATGTGAACTTACTGGCTGCAGAGATAAAGTAACTCACCCACTTACCAGCTGAATCATAGGAAATTTCGTTTTTATCTGTCACCACATAAGCATTTACCGGTAACCGTTGGAATCGCGGGAAATGAAGTTCTTCTGCGTATGTGGCGATGAGCCTAGACTACATTTCCCTGGATTCAACGCAGCTGGTAAGTGCGGGAGTAATGGAAGATAGGGGAGCGGAGTTATGAGTTAGGAATGGATTTGCTTATAAAATACGACTAGTGCAAAGAAATCTAAGTGGTTTTGATAGGAAACTACATGGGACTTGAGCGCATGTACGACTTAGGTGATTATACAATTTATAAAGACTTATGCGAGTTTTACTGTACTCTTAAACTCTATCCATGTGGCTATCATCCAATAAGAAATACAAGAGTTCGACTGTAAATCACCCCACATTAAACATGCTGAGTCTTGAAGAACTACTGGGGTACCTGTACTTACTGTATTATTTTAAGTGTAGTTTGTACCTATAGGCAAATGCAGCAGCTATTTTGCACCAGCAAGTTCCCACAAACGCTGAGGTGAAAGACCAATTAATCAGGAGGACTGTGAGCTAGGAGAAACTCTTTTGAAATAGTTGTGGGATCTCTTAACATCTGCCTGAAGAGTTTGATATTTCACAGAAACAAAAAGATGCGAGCACTTACGGTTTGAATTTCGGTAGAGAAGAAACGGATCTTGGAGCTGAAACTCTAAGTCTTTGTTGATGGGTTCAACTAAATTTTTCATGCTCAGTCGATTCATGATTGTAAAGCCATGGTGAGGAGAAGCTGTCCTGGGGGAAAGGGAAACCATTCTTTTTGTCATCAGTTACAACAGCAAAGTAGCAACTCTGCACCAAAATCCCCCCCACACGCACCCAACCACCAAAAACTTGGAAGGGTTAAAGTTAAATAAACAAACTTTTGTGGAAGAGAAGAGCCAATAAGCTTCAGCTTGGATTTCTATTTCTTTAGCTCTACCACTCCACTCCTCAGTCTTAAAAGAAATGTAGGAATTCAAATCAACTCTCCTCCCCCTCCCCCATCTTCAATACATCCGTCTGCAAAACATAGTGATTTTAGGCATATGGAAGAGAGGGGCTTGAAGGAGTACGGACATAAGGCAGTGGGGCTGAATATATGGTTTGCTCCGAGAGCCAGTGCAGACTCAAGGGTCTGAATGGCCTCCTTCTGCGAAGTACAATTGCTTTGCAGCTGAAATCCCCTGCTGCGGGCAGACAGACAACACCAGGAACACTATGTTTAAAATCAACAATTCTAACATACCTGGTGTACACAAACAGGGTACCTTCAATATCAGTCTTCTCCTGTAAAGGGAGGAAAAACGTTGAACCGTAAGTCAGAGAAACGCAGTTCCTACCCGTTCTTCTGATCAGACCAACATTAAATACAGTCGATTCACTTTACAGTCTATTCCGGGAAGCGCTTTGAGACGTCTCGAAGGCGCGATAAGGCGCCGTATCAAATGCGAGGATTATTATTGTTGTTAAATCTTCCAACACTGAGGTCATTACCATCAATCAATTATCCATTCCCACCTAAAAAAGAAAGTTACTTTCCCCCCTGTACTACTCCCTGACCTGCCTTGTGGGTTACAATAAAATTAGGGTTCAAGTAGAGATTCAAATAATTTTCCAGGGTGGGGGGGGGAGGGAGACAGAGAGAAGGGGGGAGACAGAGAGGGGGGGAGGGAGGGGGAAGAGAGAGGCGGGAAGAGAGGGAGGGAGGAAGGGGGAGAGAGGGAGGAGGGAAGAGAGGGAGGGGGAAGGGGAAAGAGGAGGGGGAAGAGAGGGGGGAAAGAGGGAGGGGGAAGAGAGGGGGGAAAGAGAGGGGGGAGGGAGGGGAAAGAGAGAGAGAGGGGAAGGGGGGGGGAGGGGGAAGAGAGAGAGGGGGAAGAGGGAGAGAGGGGAGGGGGGGAGAGAGAGAGGGGGAGGGGGGGAGAGAGGGGGAGGGAGAGAGGGGGGAGAGAGAGGAAGGGAGAGGGGGAGGGAGAGAGAGGGGGAGGGGGGGGGGGGGGAGGGAGGGAGATGGAAGATGGGGGGGGAGATCAGAGAGAAGTGGGGGGGGGGGGGAGAGAGAGATAGGGGGAAAGAGTGAAAAAGAGAGAGAAATGTGGTGGGGGAGAGAGGGTTTGGAAGAGTCGGGGGCGGCGGTGGTGTCGAGGCAGGAAGTTGTGGGGTGGTGTGGGGGGTGTTGTCGTGTCGAGGCCTAGGCCGAGGCCTGTGGCGGGAAGCCTGGGGCTCGGGTGGTGTCGGCGCCTCCTCACCCACTCGCCGGCCTGCGGGTTGTAGGTGTAAAGCGCCACCTGGCTGGTCACGTCCACGATGTGGGCGATGAAGGGGTCGCTCTGGCGCAGGGCGGAGAGGCTGATGTCGCGGTCGCGGCCTCGGCTCGGGGGCTCCATGGCGGCGGCGGCGGCGTCTCTCTCTGTGTCTCTGACACACGAACGCTGACGGCTACCGGAAGTGTGTCACGCAGAGCGCGTCCCCGGCCGGACCCACTTCCGGCGGCGCCCGAGAGCAAAGGGGCCGGAGAGCAACTCAGCTGCAACTGATCCTCCTGTCCCCCCTCACCCCCACACCCCCCCCACACACACACCCCCCCACACACCCCCCCCACCCCCCCCACCCACACACACCCCACACCCCCCCCACCCCCCCCACACACCACCCCACACACACCCCCCCGTACACACCGCCACACCCCCATACACCCCCCCCCCACACACACTCACCCCACCCCCCCCACACACCCCCCCCCCCCCATACACACACCCCCCCCCACACACACCCCCCCCCATACCCCCATACACCCCCCCCACACACACACACACCCACACACACCCCCATACACACCATACACACACCCTACACCCCCCCACACACCCCCATACACACACCCCCCCCACACACCCCCACACACCCCCCCCCCCCCCCACACACCCCCCCCCCCACACACACACACCCCCCCCCACATACACACACACACCCCCCACACACACACCCATACACACCCCCCCTCACCCCCCCCCACACACACCCCCACACACACACACTACACCCCCCCCCCCCCCCCCCCACACACACACACCCTCTCTCTCTCTGGGTCTGTGGGGGTGGGGAATGTGATGATAATAATAACAACCTTATAATAATCATTGATAGTATAATAATACTTCGTGGAGCTTTTTCGAAATTACGGAAGGGTCCGTCGATAAGGTGACGAAGGAGAGACTACTTCCACGGGCGGGCGGGCGGGCGGGTCGGTAACCAGAGGACGCAGATTGTTTTCACGCAGCGAGTTGTTGGGATCTGGAATGCATTGCCCGAAAGGCCGGTGGAAGCCGATTCGATAACAACTCTCAAGAGAGAAGCAGATAGATGTTTGTGAAGGACGAATTTGCAGGGCTATGGGGAGAGAGCGGGGGAGTGGGATTAATTTGGACAGCTCTTTCACGACACGACGGGCCGAATGGCCTCCTTCTTGTGCTGTATATTCTATGATTCTACAATGATATCCCCATTCTGTCACTTAGGATAATCCCCCGTCCCATTCTGCCACTAATACTTTCCAATATTGTTGTTGTAACCTTTGATTGGGATCGGCCAGATGGAAAACAATGGTCTTTTCTCGTCCAGCATTCTATAGAAATTTCCGTGGAGATCCGTAGCGTAGTGGATAGAGCACTCGTCTTGCGAACGAGAGGACCCGGGCAAAAACATAGGCAAGTTTCCACTGTTTATTTAGCAGTATGTAGGAACCGGGTTGTAAATCAATTGGTGGTTCGCTTGTCCGGGGGTAATAATCCCTTCCAAAAAAAAGTAATAATGATAGAGGACAGAGGGATTAAGGGATATGGGGATAAGGCGGGCAGATGGAGTTAGGTTAGAAGATCACCCATGATCTTATTGAATGGCGGGGCAGGCTAAGGGGCCGAATGGTCTACTCCTAATTCCTATGTTCCTAATTTGGTCATTCAATACACGACAGTTTGTGGGACACTCCTGTGCGCAATTGACTGCTGTATTTCGCCCACATAATATACAGTCAGTTCACTTGATAGTATATTCCGTGAAGCGCTTTGAGACGTCTCAAAGACATGATAAGGCGCTGTATCAAATGCAAGGCTTATTATTAGTATTTCCAAATGTGCTCCAATTCATGCCCGATGCTGTTTACGTCAATTGTTTGAATTAAACTGGAACAATGTCTCCAGTCCCCCTCTGCTCTTCAATTTATTTTTTTATCCAGTTACAGTGTTTTTAGTAGGATACATTTCCCAATGTAAACTAATGGTGTTCGGTAAAGCAAACAGTGTGACAAGAATTAATGCTTATTCTGCAATCAACGGTAAATAAATCATAATATCTAATTAATATTTAACAAGCACCGGACTCCATGCATCTCAATCCTCCAATGCATAATTTAAGTATGTATAGCAAATATATATATATATTCTATATATATATATTGTGTTGATTCCTTCAAACACAGATTAGATAGTTTTCTTTTAGGAAATAACATTACGGGATACAGTGCATAGGTAGTAGAGGACATATGTGCATGCGACCGCCAGGAAGGTGGAAGGCGAACTGGATGGACGTTGGTCTTTTATTCATCTAGCATTTCTTATGTTTATATATATATATATACATTTATGGATATACATGGCTACCTTTTCCTATTAATATTCCTTGTTTGCTGGTTGCTGTTAAAATGCTGATGTGAGTTGTTCTCTTGCAGTTGTGTATCACAAGAGGGTGAAATAGGTCAGTGAGAGCCACCCCATGTTTAGCTCAAGCACATTATGAGGATTAATAATTCATGGATTATCTCCTAGAAACAATGATTCGCTGCACCGTAGTAATGCAATATGCCTGACTCATGTAACGCACAGGGCTACTTTAGTTTAGGCTTGTAGTTTATACTCCATGTAGTCAGCCTTGTAGGAAGGTAAGGGTGTGTGTGTTATTCTGAAACCATGATAGATTGCAGCGTTTTCCCTGCATGTGGAGCTCTGAAATATGGCTCTTTCTGACACCGGATTAGACAGGTGAGACAATGTGTGTTATGTCTAGTTCAGTCTCGACTCATTCCAGTGTCTCTTCACCCTAAAGTCCCAGTCTTTGTTCTCAGTTGACATTTCCCCCTGACTGATACCGTTGTTTTAATATCTGTTCTTTTTTGCTCCTTAAAATAGCAGTTCTTGTTATTAATCAACTCAATTATCATAGTATTAATGTCTCCTTGTATTTGGGGAAAAATGTGTGGGATCTGGGATTGAGTGTTTACCAATTTTCACTGGCAAACAGAACACCCTCTCCTTGACTTCAATGTTGGTGGAGGCACAGTCAGTGTGATGTATTGTGTTAGCAAAAGACCATATAGGCTGGACCTTTAATATGGTGGCCATGTGTTTTAATCAGGAGAGTGAAATACAAGTGTTATTGCAATGTCTTCCCAAAAATTAAATGTTCTAAGAGTGTGCAGCGCACATTAATGTGGGCTGGGTAGGTGGGTGGGTGGTGAAGTAATTCGGATTTTGCTTTTTGTAAGTCGTAGTCTGATGATTTCTGAATGAATGAAAGAAAGAAAAAAAAGAGGGAGAGAGAAAAAGGCAGAGAGAAAGAAGGAGAGAGAAAGAGGGAGAATGAGACAAATGCCAGCAGTGAATGGAGTACTTGACTTCTCAATCAAATACAAAAGATATAATTAGTTCGCACCCTTACAGTCTCAGGCACAGTACAAAATGCTGTGCACAAAGGCAGACTGAATAGGGTAAAAGTGCCTTAACTTTCGATTGAACGCTCTTCTGCAGAGGTTAAAAGAACAATACTGTATCGCGAGGAAGCGACCCTTTGGTGTTGACTCTATAGTAAGAAACTGCTTTTCCCTTTCATTTTAAAAGCGTTAAATTGGCAAAAATGTCAATGAGATTCTGATTGTTTCCATAAAAAACAACTGATATTAAAATCTTATACCCTTTGGGCATTAAATATAAGATTTGTTTGAAATTCTGATTTAAAAAAAGGTTATATATATGTGCGTGTATATATGTATATGGGTAATCTATAAATATATATGCAATATATTTAATATATATATATATACACACGCGTGTATATATATGTGTTTTTTTATTTGTTTAAATTTTTTTTTGAATATTCAGCAATAATTTAATTTAACAGGTATATTGTGACAAAAATCAAATGTGGGTTAATATGGTAATTGCTTATTTGTGGACGCTTAGTGATTAAGACTGTGCGATTTTAGGCAGAAACAAGGGGGTTTTTTTTGCCTTAAAAACAAAATAGCACCTTATCACATCTCCTGGGCATTTCAAAGCGCTTCACAGAGAGAGTAAGTACACTGTAAAGTGAATTGACTCTATATTCTCTGGACTTCATTCGACTCCCAAGTTTTACCCAGTTGCTACACTGGCATTGTATGTGTGTGCGTGTGTGTGTTTTTTTTTAAAATATTGATCTCCGCACTCACGTTCCTGCGGTTGGATAGCCCTATTATTGCTGCACTTTTGAGCTGGGTACCAGGTACAGGGTATCAATTAAATTCCATCACTTGTAGCTTACCCAAACCCCCACCAGGAGGCGCTTTACGCTCCTTCTCATTTGCTCTTGGAAACATTACAGTGCTGACAGCAGCCATCAATAATCCATTACACTTACATATTCCATCATTCCTCTTAACACATTCCCGCAATTATGATTAAAAAAAAATGTAGCCTGAAAACGTGCCTTCGTGCGTTTAACCGCTCCACCGTCGTGTTGGGACCACCGGGCATCTGATTCACTGTTCATCTGCTAAATCCATTCTTTCATCATAAATTAAGAGTGGATTTTTCGCAACTACTTTGTCGCGTAAAGTCACACGTATTTCTTCCCAAGGTGTCTAATCTTTTTGTAATAGACATTTTTTTGTTTTTATACTGGCTGCCGCATTTCGCCCGCAGGACCCACAGTCGCTATATTTTACAGTCTATTCTGTGAAGTGCTTCGCGGCGGCTCAATGATGTGATGAGGTGCTATACGAAATGCAAGGATTATTATTTATTTCTAATCGTCAGTTACAGAAAATAATCCTGACAAATTGGACACTATCACAAGACACATTTCCTACAGTAGCTATCAGCATTACATAAAATATAATAATCCTTGCATTTGACGTAGCGCCTTATCACCTCTTCGAGACGTCTCAAAGGGCTTCACAGAATATACTGTAAAGTGAATTCACTGTGTATTTTGTGGGCGAAACGCGGCAGCCAATTCGATGTAATGAGGCGCTATATCGAATGCAAAGATTATTTTATTTGTTACCTGTTACAAATGAGATGGTCAAACTAGAAATAAAAATAAATTTATATTCGATAACCAAAAATAAATGTTTGGACGCCGTGCACTCGAGTGCCCAACTTACTCCCATTGTCGGTCTGGCCCAGTTGGTAGCACTCTCACTTCTGGGTGAAAAGGTTGTGGGTTGTCCAAACCCCAAGCTGGACCTTGAGCTTTTAGTCCAGGCTGACACTCCAGTGCAGCTCAATTTTTTGTGGGTCAGCCGGGTGTCCGACACACGCGGAAACCCATCACCGTTGCTTAAGAGTCTCCAAACCAAGCTGAGAATTCCATGCTTCCCACCTACACGTGGAAATGTCGGAGATAGATTGTTGGAAAGGAATGCGTTCTCTCTCTCTCTCTCTCTACCTGGAGGGACACATTCCCGGCTTACCTAATTCCGGAAAGTATTAGGCGCAGGTTGGCAAGAGCCAAGGCTTGGGGGAGCCCAGAGTGTGCGTTGGGGTCGCTGCTGGAGTCTAACCAACTAAAACCACATTAACTTGCATTGAGAGCACAGCTCTGACGTGTTGAATTCTCGAAAGAGCGAAACAATAGGTTATGATATGGGGGAGAAAGGCATTTGCTCTTCCCTGATTCAGGATTACAGTTTATGGTAATGTCTAAGTCTGTGGATACGCCACATGTATTCCTGAACGTTTCTCTGGCATAATAATGTTAATTTCAAGCGGGAGTAATTGATCCGTGGAGCGAACCATCAAATTTTCCCACACAAATTACTTTGATGTGCCTATCTTTACATCTAATAACCCTGAATCCTTTTAGTTGACAGAAATTTGACTTGTTCCTTTCAAAAACCCTTTGTAGTTTCTTGTTTCATCGGAAAAAAAAATCAGCATTTCCTAACTTCCTATGTGGTTGTCTCCCTTTCTATTGAATTTTGTCCTGTACCTTATCGGTTAGAGCGCTCACCTCGCAAGCGAGAGGACCCGGGTTCGATTCCCGGGCAGGTCATGGCGAAATGTTAGCCAAGTTTCCTTACTCCACACGCACGCCTCTGGTTACCCAGCAGTAAGCAGGAACCCGGTTGTTAGTCGATTGGCGGATCGCTTTCCCAAGGGTAATGATCACTCCCAGGTAAATAAATGAATCATAATAATAATTCGGTCACTTAATCTACCACTGTTTGTGGGACACCGCTGTGCACACAATTGACTGATGCGTTTCGCCCACGAAATAGGTAACAAGTCACATCTATGAGGTCTGATGTGTGGGATCTTCTAACGGGATTCACTTAACGTGATCGCTTCACAGTCGGATGCCCTGGTCTGTGCCCTCCTCTCCCATCCCCATTACTCTTGTCATGTTCTCACCCGCCCCCCCCACCCCCCCCACCCCCTTGTCTCGCTCACATGCTCACACTCAACCTCACTCTCATGCACTCCTTCCATCTTTTGCACCACTATTCTCTCTCTCCCGCCCTCTCTCTCGCACTGTTTTGCTCTCGCGCACCAATTATTTATTTTATCTATCGGATATCTCAGACGCTATTTCTCCCGCGTGGACTTTCTCCCTCTTCCTCTCGAGTAACCTCCCCAGTGTACTATTTCTCTCTCTTGCACGCTCATCTTTTGTGCACTATTCTCTCTTATGGACCATGTCTCTCTCTCTCTCTTTTGCACCATTTTCCTCACGTGCTATCTATCTATCTATCTATCTATCTATCTATCTATCTATCTATCTATCTATCTATCTATCTATCTATCTATCTATCTATCTATCTATCTATCTATCTATCTATCTATCTATCTATCTATCTATCTATCTATCTATCTATCTATCTATCTATCTATCTATCTATCTATCTATCTATCTATCTATCTATCTATCTATCTATCTATCTATCTATCTATCTATCTATCTATCTATCTATCTATCTATCTATCTATCTATCTATCTATCTATCTATCTATCTATCTATCTATCTATCTATCTATCTATCTATCTATCTATCTATTATCTATCTATCTATCTATCTATCTATCTATCTATCTATCTATCTATCTATCTATCTATCTATCTATCTATCTTCTATCTATCTATCTATCTATCTATCTATCTATCTATCTATCTATCTATCTATCTATCTATCTATCTATCTATCTATCTATCTATCTATCTATCTATCTATCTATCTATCTATCTATCTATCTATCTATCTATCTATCTCATGCACTCTCCTCATGCACCATCTCTCCCTCTCGCACCATTTATTTATCTATCTATCTATCTCTTTAGTGCACTCTTTCTCACTCTATCTCTCTCGTGCACTCCCTCTATCTCTCACGTGCACTCTTTCTCTCTCTCTCTCATGTGCACTATTTCTCTCTCCATCTCTTTCTTTCTCCATCTCTCCCTCTCGTGCACTCTCTCATTCTCTCTCGTGCACTATTTCTCTCTCCATCTCTTTCTTTCTCCATCTCTCTCCCTCTCGTGCACTCTTTCTCTCTCTCTCTCATTCTCTCTCTCTCTCTCGTGCACTCTTTCTCTCTCTCTCTCTCTCGTGCACTCTCTCCTCTCCTCTCCAGGTGCGCGCTCCATCCATCCATCCCTCCCTCCCTCTCTGTGAGTGAGTGAGAGAGAGAGAGAGAGAGTAAGAGAGAGAAAAAGAGAGAGAGAGTGACTCAGAGCTGAAGCACAGACGGCAGCAGCTGCAACGAGAGGAGAAGAGAAAGAAGAGCCACAGAGAGAGAGAGAGAGAAAGAAAGAAAGAAAGAAAGAGAGGAGAGAAAGAGAGAAGGAGATAGGAGCCAAGAAAACAGCAGCAACACAAACCAGGACCACATACAGGTGCCAACAGAGGGGACTGGGAGAAGCCAAGACCCTGGGCTTGGTGTGATAGCCCCAGAGAGAGAGAGAGAGAGGGAGAGAAAGAGAGAAAAAAAAGAAAGAAAGCCCCTCAAGAGGAACCCAGGGAGCAGGAGGCTTGGATATGACCATGATGTTGGATACAAATTGGATGGAGGACATCTGAGAGGCCAGTCTGTCTGTCGGTGTGGTGTCTGCAGCCAGAGAGACAGACAGAGAGACACAGACAGAGAGAGACACAGACACAGACAGAGAGAGGGAGAGAGAGAGAGAGAGAGACAGAAGGATGGAGATCTGGGGCCAAGTGTCGCCTGTGCCTCTGCCTCTGCTCTGAAGCCAATTTTCCACTGCAAAAAAAAATATTATAATCATAATAGAATAATAATATTCATAATAATAAGCACCGAAAGGGGCCGGAATGTATGAGCTGAAGGAACACGGTGAAGGTAACATTAACTGTACGAGAGAAGGGAGAGAGAGACATCACCAGAGCCTCATTGGGGGGGTGTGGGGGGGGTGGGGGGCAGGTTGGGCGGGTTCACGCCCAATTGGGCTGTTTTTTTTTATTGTGAGTGTGTGTGTGTGGGGGGTGGGGGGTGATGTGGGGGGGGGGGGGGGTTGGGGGGGGTGGGATGTTGGGTGGCATCTTTGGGCTGGTACCTCATTTTATCATATAATAATATATTTATAATATATAAGTGTAGTTGCAATGTGTGGTGTAGTCACAGACTATAATATATGTCTATATCTGTGCTATAGTCCTAATCTAATCTATAAATACTGTTCTCTCTTCTTCTAACGTTACACTATTATTATCGTTATCATTATATTATTACCTGTTTTTTTTTTACATTTTTAAATTGAAGCTGCAAAACGTTTTTTTCCCTCTCGCTCTCCCCTCTTCCTCCATCTCTTCCTTCCTCTCTCTCTTCCTCCCCTTTTCTCTCCTTTCCTCTCTCTCTTCCTCCCCCTCTCTCTCCCTCCCTTCATCTCTTCCTTCCTCTCTCTCTTCCTCCCCTTCACTCTCCTTTCCTCTCTCTCTTTCTCCCCCCTCCCTCCCTCCCTCCATCTCTTCCTCCCCTCTCCCTCCCTCCCTCCCTTCCTCTCTCTCTTCCTCCCTCCTCCCTCCCCTCTCTTCCTCCCCCTCTCCCTTCCTCCCCCTCCTTCCCTCCTCCCTCTCCCTCAGCCCCCTCTCTCCTTCTCCCCTCTCTCATCCTCCTTCTCCCTCACCATTCCTCCCCCTCTACTCTCTTCACCCCCCTCTCTCTTCCTACATCTCTCCTCCTCACTGTACCTTCTCTCTCCATCCATCCCTCTACCTTCCTCCCACTCCCCCTCTCTGTCTCCCTCTGGTCCTCCCCTCCTCTCTCTTCCTCCCTCTCCCATTGAGGACCTTATTTTGCACAGTTTCACCAGCACTAACCTAAATGAGCCACTCTGGCTACAACGCAGAATATTGGGCTACTTTGGGGGGGGCTCGAATCTGGTTGATGTGGGGCTACAAACCTATTTTAATTTCTGGCCAAATTCCTGATGAGTTTGCAAGGTCCAATTTTTTTTTTTTTTTTTTTGCATCCGCTGATGGCAAATGTTATTTAATGTTATTTAAAAAACATTTAATGTTTTGATTAAAAAAAAATCAGCCCTTGAAGCTGAGGTTTCTGTCCTTCCTCATGGGCTGAGGATTAAGGGGGTTGGTGGGAGAACATGTTCAGTTTGCAAAATTATTTATTTTCACCCCCTCTCTCACTTAAAAAGTCTTTGAATTGGTGATTTATTTGGGAGTGTGTGGTTCAGTGATGGTTTGGGATTGCCATTAACCCAGGAGTTTGGGGTTTAATGTTGCTAAACTGTTCACAATTTATCTTAAACTCCCCCTTTTTTTTAATTGAAATTGAATTTTAAAAAAAAATTGCACTCTCTTTCAGCAACTTTCCCTTCTGCTTTGATCACTTCACTTGCCCTGTATTTATTTATTTGCGAGGTATCCAGATGGATTTGTTTTTTGTTTTAATTGTAAACCGATAATTAAAACAAATATATTTTATTTATAAACACAGACTCAGACACACACACACACACACACCACAGTACAGAGTTGTGCAGGTTTTTATTTCCAATGAAATAAGGATTTAATGGGGGGGGGGAACAGCACAGAAGAGGATTTTACACATATATCAGCCACTGTACAAATACAGAGAGCAATTGATTTCATGTTGGTGTAATAATGGTGGTTCCAAATGTAAATTGTGTAAAAGATGCTTATAATCTGAAACTTGTGTGTGTGTGTGTGTGTGTGAGACTGTGTGGGTTTGTGTGTGGCTGTATGTTTGTACGTGGAATTGTGTGTGTGTGTAGAGGGGGTCTGTTTGTGGGTTTGTGTTTGTGTGTGTGGGGGGGGGGGGTGCAGGGGGCTGTGTGTTTGTGTGTGTGTGTGTGTGGGAAGGGAAGAGGGGGTGTATGTGTGTGTACGTGTCTGGTGAGGGGGAGCTGTGTGTTTGTGTTTGTGTGTGATGGGGGGGTACTTATGTTTGCAGTGTATGTGGGGTGGTTGTGAGTTTGTGTGTGTGTGGGTGTGGGTGGGGGGTATGTGGGGTGGCTGTGTGTTTGTGCATTGGGGGTTTGTGGGATGGGATTTGTTCCTGTGGGAGGGATGTGTTTGTATGTAGGTCTGTGTATGTAGCAGAGTGTGTTTTTGTGTGTGTGTGTGGGGGGGGGGGCGCGGAAAGGGTTGTGTATGTGTACTGTATGTTTATGGGGGGGAGGGGTGTATGTGTGTAGTGTATGCACGTGGGGGGATTGGGTTGTGTATGTGTGTGGGGGAGGGAGAGGGGGTCTTGTATGTAAGTGTGTGGTGGGGGGGATGTGTGTGCATGTGTGTGTGCATGTGTATTGCATGTATATGGGGTGAGGGGTGTATATGAATGTGGGCGGGAGGCGTCGTGTGTGTGTGTGTACGTGTATAATATGTTGTGAGTGTTTGCATCCTTTACCATCAGTGCCAGCTGTTGAGGTGTGTGGGGGATATGATACCAACACGACTTTATAAGCTTTGACAGGGTTTGCTGTGCCTTTGCTATCTCTAAATATCCCTCCTCCCCCTCTTTCTTCCACCTCCCACACACACGCGCAACCCACTTTCTCTCATTTTTACTTTCATCCCCTGATCTCGAAGACAAACTCTCCCAATTCATTGATATATTGACATTTTTAACCTTTTTTTTTTCCAAAGGTCGGTCACTCAATCCACCCACGACTGTTTGTGGGACGTTGCCGTGCGCGATTGGCTGCGGCGTTTCGCTCACATAATACAAAATCGGTTCACTTTGCGATACATCTTGTGATGCGCTTTGAGACGGCTCAATTAATTGATAAAGACGCTATACGAAATGCAAAGATTTTGTAAAAAAAAATGATCTCATCATTACGTTTTCCTTTCTTTTTTTAAAAACAAATCCACTGATGATGATGATGATAATAATAATAATCGTTGCACATGATATAGCGCCTTATCGTGTGGTCAAGACGTCTCAAAGTGCTTCACAGGATATAATTTGTGGGCAAAACTCGGGCGGCAGCCAATTGCGCACAGGATTTGGTCACTCGATTGAGTGTCCAAATTATTATTATTATGGGATTTTTTTTTAAAAAGGGATTGTTACCCCCGGAAAGCGATTTGCCAATCGACTATCAACCGGGTTCCTACTTACTGCTGGGTAAACAGAGGCGTGTGTGTGGGGAAAGGAAAGGAAACTTGCCTAAGGTTTCACCCTATATATATATATTGTATAGCATATGTATTTGAATGTACAGTATGTGTGTGTGTGTATATATCTGTGTGATATCGCAGGGGCAAATTATGCCAGCGACAGACTGCCAATACCCAGCGTCGGACCTGATCTGGACCCGCACAGCGAACAGCCGAAGCAAACGGCGCTGTCCTGGCAGAGTGCGATCGACGCAGCCCGACAGGCCAAAGCCGCGGCGGCAGTGATGAACTCCTCCGAGCCGGCGCTCAACAGCACGGCAGCAACCCAAAGAAAACGCCAGCAATACGCCAAAAGCAAGAAGCAGGGCAGCACTGTCAACAACCGTCCGCCCCGCGCCCTCTTCTGCTTGTCTCTTAACAACCCCATCAGAAGAGCCTGCATAAGCATAGTAGAATGGAAGTATCCTTTTACGCTCTTCGGACACTCGCTACGGTCCGGAATGCGCTGCTTGAACGAACGAGAAAGGTCGACGGGCGGCAGATTCGGTCGGAGTTTTCCGCAGGGAGTTGGACAGGTACTTGAAAAGGAAACATTTGGGGTAAGAGCGAGGGATCGGGACGGATCGGGTGGCTCTTTCAACAACAACAACAACAAGATTCCATTTATAGAGCGCCTTTCACGTCGGGAGGGCGTCCCGAGGCGCTGTACAGTTGGGTCAGGACCCGAGCCTTGGGGGGAAATGGTCAGGGTGAGGGGAGGGAAGGGAGGGAGCGAGGAGGGCGTAGAGAGGCGAGAGGGGAGCTGAAGGCACGGTCAAAGAGAAAGGTCTTGAGACCGGCCTCGAAGGAGGAAAGGGAGGAGGCGGCGAAGGCACCGGGGGATAGAGTTTCAAAGAGTCGGCACAGACAGGAGGGGCTTCCTTTCTTGGCTGTAAGATTCTATGATCCTCTCTCCTGTGTTCCGACGGTTTTTGTGTTCTCCTGACGCGTATTCTTTTTTTTTTAACGCAGGAGTCTTTTTTTGGGGGGGGGGAGGGGAGAGAGAGAGAGAGAGAGAGAGAGAGAGAGAGAGATCCGAGAGTTTGTTTTCTACCAGAGAATTAAAAAAAAGAATTAGAAAAAGAATTTGAAAAAAATGGCTAATTCCGCGTTCCACTTTTTTTGGGTACATTCCTGGCAAGGTCACCGCAAGCATTGTTGCTTGTTTTAAGCTCAGTGCAGTATTTCGATGCTACAGCCACAGGCAATAAAAATCACAGCAGCGATCCACACACATCCATATATATATATATATATATATATACACACACACGCACACACAACACACACCCACCAGCACCACACGCGCACACACACACACACACACACTCTCACACGTGTGAACGCACGCAAAACCTTCAGTGGAACTAAACGTGTCACTTGGAATTAAGCTTGCACGCAGCTCCTCAGCAATACGTCCCTCGCAATCTAATGTTCTCCTTTAAAACCAGGAGCCTGACTCTCTCAAAGATGCGCTCCTCCTCCCCTACCCCACGCTCTTTCTCTCCCTCCCTCGCCCCCCCCCACACACTCCCTCCCTCCCTCCCCAACGCGCTCTCCCTCCCTCCCCCCCACTCCCGCTCCCTCCCCCCCACCCCCCCCTCGCTCTTCTTTCTCTCCAACTTGGAGCAACATTGAGCAAAAACGAGGATGAAATTGTGCAGAGCTGGCTTTTCTGTCCCTGCCCCCACCCCCACACACATGCACACGGGGTACTGTGTTTTAACGTGCAGTATTTCAGGTGTATCAGGTGTGATTTGCACATGTAAACCCGAAGACCTTCCTCTTCGACTGTGCTTACCGTCACTGTTCAGCGCTCTCGGCCGCTGCCTTCCTGTGAAGGGCGCTGTATAAATGCAAGTTACTGTCGTTGCTGGTTTGCTGAACAATTCATCCTCACCAGGTGTTGAAGGTGCTGCAATCCCCCCCCTCCGCCCACACCCACGCGACAGCTTCGCTTCCACAAAGGATCTCAGACTATCTCCCCCCCCCCCCCTCTCCCCCACCCAACAAAAAAGCATCACGTACCGACTACATGCCTAAAATTTGCTCGCTTGTGCCACTTAACAAGCTCTGTTTCCTGAGACAGAACCTTGTAATTATCTTGCGCCTCTCACCTACTTGCAAGACCAGCTATTTTCATGTGTTGGAATTTACCAAAACATTACATGACAATTCCTTTTAGATTTATCCACTGTACAGCGCCTTTCAGGTCGGGAAGACGTGTCAAAGTGCTCGACAGAATAGTAAAATAACGCATTTTATTAGCGCAAACCTCCTCCTCTCCACTTCCCACCTCCCCCCCACCCAACTGCACTGAGTTTAAAACAAGCAACAATTGATAATCTTTTGCAATCATGTCCCATCGTTCTTCTTAGACTGTAACCTTTAAACAATACAAATCTTGACATGAAAACGCTTGTCAGTCTGGTTTATGTTCACCAGTGGGCAATTGGATACGTCAGGCTCAACAGATATGCAGAGCTCAGTAGACTACGAACCCGCGTTGTGTCCTATGAAGGATTTTTTAATTGAAAAACACAAGCGCTTATTGATTTGCAGCAAAAAAAAGGCTGTAAAGGCGTAATTCCTCCCTTTCGCCGTTTGATAGATGTGCACATGTATTTATTGGTTAGTGTTTTATTATAACAATATTTTCCTTAACCAGACCGCCCAGGCCATTTGATATCTTTATATTGATTTCTATTTTTGCCAACTGTGTGGCCTTAGCTGTTTACATCCCCTTCCCAGAAGATGACTCCAATTCAACTAATCATGACCTGGTAAGTGTTAATGGTTGAGCTGCTAAAATAATTGCTGTCTGTCTTGTTTTGCGTGTCTTAGCACAGAAATGTAACCTCGGAAGCAATATTTTGTAAAAGCCACAGCATGAATGTCTGCCTTATATTGAAAGATGCAAGTGCTGCGAAAGAAGTTGTGTGATGGAATCGCTCCGTCATATGTAAGGGAGCTATTTGTCAACATGTATGTCAAAATACTCGCTCAGTTATTCCATCAAATGGACCCAAGTTCCATCTTGCCTCGTTGATGATCTGTGGATTTGGTGTTGGTTTTGCTGAGGAGATTTACATCTTCTGTCACTGTAACACAGTTTTTTTTTTCCTCCCCTCAATTTATAAGTGAAGCGAAAAGTTCATATCCTGCACAATGGACACATGCTTTTTCTTTGGGCGTTTGGCTGGATCTGTGCGTTTTGTGCAAATGAATTTCTCGTCGGTGATAAAATGAGTCGTCGCCTCTGGTAGCGCTTTTGCATTGGGAGCAGTTAATGCTGTAGTGTTTCATGAGCGTCCCAGAGATAAGTGCAGCGAAACAGTTATTTATGTGGCAAATTTTCATTGCAGTTTGTTTGTATGGCTGAGGCAGAGGGTGAGTTAGCCCTGGTTTAATACTTCCTCAGGTATCATTAATATAATGAGAGCTGTCCCTCTTTAAAACTGGTCGTCACGTGCACGGTGCTGGAATGCAAGTGTTGAGTAATAAGCGTGCTGGGTGCTTTCATGAGCTTATTGACTGAGCGGCTCCTGGTTATGGCGTTAGATTGAAAAAAATTATGAACTAAACGTGGTGCGTTTTGAACATCGAGTTTGATTTTTTTTTTAAACGAGGCGGAGTTTGCGTTTATTGGAATTCTCTTTGAATAGAGCTTTGGTTTGATGTTTGCTTTTATATATCTGACTGTGTAATTCAAAGAGCATATTCTCTACTCAACGTTTCACATGGGTCTGATCACTGGGTGTGCGTTTCTACGGTGTGAATCAGAAGTCCTTAATCGTAGAGTTTTTAATTATTAATTATGTTTTTCTTTAAGAGGACATTAGAAGAGGGTGTGCAGCTATTACAGGCGATGTCTTTCATCGTGTTTGTGAAGGTTTACGTCGCCGAGTTGATATGTGTAAACGTCCACATGGCATGTGTGAAGGGTGCTATATAAATGCAAGTTGTTGTTGTATCTCATACAGACCTATGAGTAGGGCTTTTGATTCTCTCTGTACAAAGAATGCATCTTTGTAGACCTGTTCACTTTCTAATGCACAGCAAATAACCACAAATTACATTTGGATTGCGCCTTTCACGTCAGGAGGACGTTCCAAGGCGCTGGACAGTCAGGGATCCATCCACACCCCAATTTCATGTTTATACCTCCTGTTTTAATCGCCACGTCTGTCAGTCTATCAGCCTGGCTGAGTTGGTAGTGCTCTTTCTCTATAGTTGTACGTCTTCAGCGATTTGTTGCCTAGGGCAGAATGGTAGTTGAGGTAGAGACAATTTCTATCTTCCATCACAGAGAACAATATGACAAAATGCAAGTACTGTAGCAAATTGGGCAATGGATTGGCAGTTTCAATGCTCACATTCTTGTCAGCTGGCTTATCTGCTTCCCTGCGATATGAATAATAATAATAATCCTTGCATTTGATATAGCCCCTTATCACGTCATTGAGACATCTCAAAGCACTTCAGGGAATATATTGCAAAGTGAATCGGCTGTATGATTTGTGGGCGAAACCTAGCAGCCAGTTGCGCACAGCAGTGTCCCACAAACAGTCGGGGATTGAGTGGGAAAATTATTATTATTTTCAGGGGGAGGGATTATTACCCCCGGAAAGTGATCCGCCAATTAACTCACAACTGCTTACTGCTAGGTAAACAGAAGCGTGTGGGCAAGGAAACTTGCATATGGTGTTGCCCTGGCCGGGAATCGAACCCGGGTCCTCTCGCTTGTGAATCGAGAGCTGTAACCCCTGCCACTATTTCTCAGTCATGGAGGGTTAACGTGTAACCGAGTGGAAATCCAAGATAACATATGGATGTCACGACTGGTGGATGTCAAGGTTGCTTGTGAGATGGAGTGTTTACAGGGTCATTTGTCCATTGAGACGTGTAATACAATTACGGGGCTTTGACGGTCCATCGCTGTGGTTGGAAAGCAAAAGGGTTGAAAAAGAATCGCTGTGTCATGGGACGTACTCAGCAGAAATTACAACGCTGTGCCTGATCAGTCCGTAAATTTACTGTTGGTCAGGGAATCATCCATCCCACTGGTGTTTTATTAGAAAGGGAGAATGTGCTTTAATGTGCACTGGTGTGTGTCAGCCTGGCTCAGTTGGTAGCACTCTTGTCTCTTGAGTCAGAAGGTTGTGGGTTCAAGTACCACGTCAGGATTTGGAACCCATGTGGTCTCTCCTATAATAATATAATAATAATAATTCTTTCATTTGATATAGCGCCTTATCACGTCTTTGAGATGTCTCAAAGCGCTTCACAGAATGTAGTGTAAAGTGGATTTACTGTGTATTTTGTGGGCAACACATGGCAGCCAGTTGCGTCCAAACAGTCGTGGATTGAGTGACCAAATGTCACTGCCACTTTCTTGTTGGAGGTCCAGTCATTCGAATGAGACGTTAAACCGAGCTCCGGTCTCCATTTCTTCCAATACGTTAAAGATCCCATGGGATTTTCTCTCCCTTCTCCATCTTACTGCCAATCATGACTTGAGTATTAGGCAGGACAAGGCGAGTATTAGTAAGGAGCAACTCCCTACTCTCTCTCTCTTCGAATACTGTCATGGGAATCACTGTTTATGCTGGTCAACAAAACCCCATATGAAAAATTAGTCTAATTTTGTGACTTCATGGCTGTTTGTGGGACACAAATTGCCGCTCGCAAATTGGCAGCTGCGTTCACCCACAATATGCACGGTAAAGCTCTTTGAGATGTTCCTCCTGACGTGAAAGGTACTACATCAAATGCAAGGATCACTATGCGCTATCGCTTTGTGACACACTATTTACTCTGTTTCGTTCTACGTCTTTAAGTGCAACAGGAGACACCGATGCGTGTGATAATGGCTAGAGTCAACGGGGATATTTTAGAATAGCTTTTACACTGAGTACAAAGGGTGTCTCGTTTTATATTGGTTTGGTCAAGATCAAATAGCAACAATAAAACTATAGGAAAGTCAACTTGACTAAACGCTGTAGCTTTGAACATTCTTGGCCGTTCCATCAAGGGACCCAATCTATTGGTCTGCTATTCATTCCCATTAACCCACAATTCCCCAGAAGAGCACGGTTAAATCCTGGATGTCAGCTGCATTACACTGATTGCACAAGTTAATGAAAGAGGTCACGGCGGGTGCGATCATGGCTCCGGGTTAAAGGTACAGGACTCGGGGAGAGTATTTGTTTGGAGCCTCGCTTTAAATTTATGTTGGTAGAAAGTGCTACGTTAAATTGTGTATCGATTTACCTATGTTTGAGATTTTAATTGTGAAAATAGCTGCATTAATCATCCGGCCAAAGTCACTGGATGTGAAAGCTGTTATGGATCCGTCTACGTGAAATCTAATTATGTATTATTTGACGCAACGCATGAAGCCAGAAGCCTTCGAAATTAAATGGTGGGACGAGAGGCACTGGCGACAACACGATAATTCCAAACAGAACGGCAGAGACATGATTACAACAGGACCGTGCAGGTGGACCCAACTTGGAGAGTTTCAGGGCCCTCAGGAAGGATCATGACCTTTGCATCGGACGCAGCACCTGTTCACGTCACAAACGATTCAAAAGAGTTTTCTGTGAAGTGTAGCGACCGTGTGTTTGTAGGTTTGATTCCCACACGGGGCGAAAGCTTAGGCAAGTTTCCTTGCTCCACACACGCGCCTCAGTAAGTAGGAACCCGGTTGTTAGTCAATTGGCGGATTGCTTTCTGGGGGAAATAATCCCTTCCCCGAAAACAAATTCGATCAATCAATCCACAACTATTTGTGGGACACTGCCGTGCGTAATTGGCTGCTGCGTTTCACCGATAAATCATGGTCAATCCACTTTACAATATATTCCGTGAAGCGCTTTGAGACGTCTCAATAACGTGATAAGTCACTGCATCCAATGCAAGGGTTATTATCTTTCCTGAATGCCCTGAAACTCTCCAAGTTGGGTCCACCTGCACGGTCCTGATGTAATCATGTCTCTGCCGTTCTGTTTGGAATTACCGTGTTGTCGCCAGTGCCTCTCGTCCCACCATTTAATTTCGAAGGTTTCTGGCTTCACGGGTTGCGTCAAATAATATATAATTAGATTTCACGTAGACTGATCCATACCAGCTTTCACATCCACAGTGTTTTGGCCGGATGATTAATGCAGCTATTTTCACAATTAATATCTCAAACGTAGGGATTTCTTGGGAGCGCCAGGGAGTTGAGCCAGCACTATAGTCAGATGCGGCAGCCAATTGCGCACAGCGGTGTCCCAGAAATAGTCGTGGATCGAGTGATCAAATTATTATTATTTTATTGATTTTTTGGTGCGATTATTATCCCCGGAAAGCGTTCCACCAATCGACTAACAACTGGGTTCCTATTTACTGCTCGGTAAGCAGAGGCTTGCGGAGTGAGGAAACTTGCCTAATGTTGGGCCCTGCCCGGGAATCGAACCCCAGTCCTCTCGCTTGCGAGGCGAGTGCTGTAACCACTATGTTACTGGGATTCCAGATCTTGCCTAACCAACCTGTAGAACTTCTAAAAATGTGGCATCTCAAGTTGATTGTGGAAATAATGATCCTTGGTTTGATACCCATAACTGTCGAAACATCTCAAGCATTTTACATTCAAGTGTGTGTCTGCAGGCAAATGCAGTGGAAAGTGTGCGCACAGCAGCCATTAAGTAAATGGCCAATTTATCTGGAAGATTTGTTGGCTAGGACATCGGGACAGAGAAAGTCCCTTCCACTTTTCAAATAGCTTAACAGAATCATT